ATCCCATATGGGTATGTAAAACCTTCCATACATTGTTACGAAACAAAATGAATAAATAATTATATTGCAATATTGTGTTTCTAAAGCCCTTCTACAGTCCACTGCCCCCGTCCCCCTCCCCACTGCTTGTAGTCTTGTGCGAGGTGCTGGCATTATATATAAAGTAAATCATAGGAATCATTATGAAGAGGTCCCAGATAGCTGAGCTTATTCCACATTATCCTGATTTTAATTATTTTGTAGGAGTGTCGTTGCGGTTTCCGTTCAAGATGAAGCGTTTAGGTATGGAAAACGATACCTCAATGTCTTAAAGAAAATTGGCGCAAGTGGGAGAAACTTTAGGTTTGGCTACAGGGGTAGTTACGCCCTCATAGGGTACAAAGGCCGTCGCCGATGGTGGATCAGAGAGGCAAGCCGTCGGAAAAAGAGAGGACCCAGTGCAGTGTATGCGCGTATCCCTAAAACGAGAAGTAAGAAATATAATTGGTGCATTTATTAGCGAACCGCAAAATATTTTGCTCTAAATTGCATCTTTTCCCAGCCAATGAGAAATCTTTACTGTAACACAACAACCGTTCAAACTTCAAGGCCTGGTTAAAGAAACATTAACATTAGAGGAAAATGAGAAACAACTTTTGCAACGAAGATTTTAGATATATGAAAATTCACATATTTGCACTGCGGTGGAAAGATGAAATTAGAAGATCCTCGCAGCTAAGAACACTACTGAAACTAGTAGTTGTAAGTAGGACCTGAAAAAAATTTCAGGCCCGTACGGGATTTGAACCCATGACCTCTGCGATACCGGTGCAGCGCTCTACCAATTGAGCTAACAAGCCAACTGGGAGCTGGTCAATGAATTGGGTACAAATAAACATCCGAGTGAATGAAGATTTTAGATATATGAAAATTCACATATTTGCACTGCGGTGGAAAGATGAAATTAGAAGATCCTCGCAGCTAAGAACACTACTGAAACTAGTAGTTGTAAGTAGGACCTGAAAAAAATTTCAGGCCCGTACGGGATTTGAACCCATGACCTCTGCGATACCGGTGCAGCGCTCTACCAATTGAGCTAACAAGCCAACTGGGAGCTGGTCAATGAATTGGGTACAAATAAACATCCGAGTGAATGAAGATTTTAGATATATGAAAATTCACATATTTGCACTGCGGTGGAAAGATGAAATTAGAAGATCCTCGCAGCTAAGAACACTACTGAAACTAGTAGTTGTAAGTAGGACCTGAAAAAAATTTCAGGCCCGTACGGGATTTGAACCCATGACCTCTGCGATACCGGTGCAGCGCTCTACCAATTGAGCTAACAAGCCAACTGGGAGCTGGTCAATGAATTGGGTACAAATAAACATCCGAGTGAATGAAGATTTTAGATATATGAAAATTCACATATTTGCACTGCGGTGGAAAGATGAAATTAGAAGATCCTCGCAGCTAAGAACACTACTGAAACTAGTAGTTGTAAGTAGGACCTGAAAAAAATTTCAGGCCCGTACGGGATTTGAACCCATGACCTCTGCGATACCGGTGCAGCGCTCTACCAATTGAGCTAACAAGCCAACTGGGAGCTGGTCAATGAATTGGGTACAAATAAACATCCGAGTGAATGAAGATTTTAGATATATGAAAATTCACATATTTGCACTGCGGTGGAAAGATGAAATTAGAAGATCCTCGCAGCTAAGAACACTACTGAAACTAGTAGTTGTAAGTAGGACCTGAAAAAATTTCAGGCCCGTACGGGATTTGAACCCATGACCTCTGCGATACCGGTGCAGCGCTCTACCAATTGAGCTAACAAGCCAACTGGGAGCTGGTCAATGAATTGGGTACAAATAAACATCCGAGTGAATGAAGATTTTAGATATATGAAAATTCACATATTTGCACTGCGGTGGAAAGATGAAATTAGAAGATCCTCGCAGCTAAGAACACTACTGAAACTAGTAGTTGTAAGTAGGACCTGAAAAAAATTTCAGTCCCGTACGGGATTTGAACCCATGACCTCTGCGATACCGGTGCAGCGCTCTACCAATTGAGCTAACAAGCCAACTGGGAGCTGGTCAATGAATTGGGTACAAATAAACATCCGAGTGAATGAAGATTTTAGATATATGAAAATTCACATATTTGCACTGCGGTGGAAAGATGAAATTAGAAGATCCTCGCAGCCACCACAGTGCAAATATGTGAATTTTCATATATCTAAAATCTTCATTCACTCGGATGTTTATTTGTACCCAATTCATTGACCAGCTCCCAGTTGGCTTGTTAGCTCAATTGGTAGAGCGCTGCACCGGTATCGCAGAGGTCATGGGTTCAAATCCCGTACGGGCCTGAAATTTTTTTCAGGTCCTACTTACAACTACTAGTTTCAGTAGTGTTCTTAGCTGCGAGGATCTTCTAATTTCATCTTTCCACCGCAGTGCAAATATGTGAATTTTCATATATCTAAAATCTTCATTCACTCGGATGTTTATTTGTACCCAATTCATTGACCAGCTCCCAGTTGGCTTGTTAGCTCAATTGGTAGAGCGCTGCACCGGTATCGCAGAGGTCATGGGTTCAAATCCCGTACGGGCCTGAAATTTTTTTCAGGTCCTACTTACAACTACTAGTTTCAGTAGTGTTCTTAGCTGCGAGGATCTTCTAATTTCATCTTTCCACCGCAGTGCAAATATGTGAATTTTCATATATCTAAAATCTTCATTCACTCGGATGTTTATTTGTACCCAATTCATTGACCAGCTCCCAGTTGGCTTGTTAGCTCAATTGGTAGAGCGCTGCACCGGTATCGCAGAGGTCATGGGTTCAAATCCCGTACGGGCCTGAAATTTTTTTCAGGTCCTACTTACAACTACTAGTTTCAGTAGTGTTCTTAGCTGCGAGGATCTTCTAATTTCATCTTTCCACCGCAGTGCAAATATGTGAATTTTCATATATCTAAAATCTTCATTCACTCGGATGTTTATTTGTACCCAATTCATTGACCAGCTCCCAGTTGGCTTGTTAGCTCAATTGGTAGAGCGCTGCACCGGTATCGCAGAGGTCATGGGTTCAAATCCCGTACGGGCCTGAAATTTTTTTTTCAGGTCCTACTTACAACTACTAGTTTCAGTAGTGTTCTTAGCTGCGAGGATCTTCTAATTTCATCTTTCCACCGCAGTGCAAATATGTGAATTTTCATATATCTAAAATCTTCATTCACTCGGATGTTTATTTGTACCCAATTCATTGACCAGCTCCCAGTTGGCTTGTTAGCTCAATTGGTAGAGCGCTGCACCGGTATCGCAGAGGTCATGGGTTCAAATCCCGTACGGGCCTGAAATTTTTTTCAGGTCCTACTTACAACTACTAGTTTCAGTAGTGTTCTTAGCTGCGAGGATCTTCTAATTTCATCTTTCCACCGCAGTGCAAATATGTGAATTTTCATATATCTAAAATCTTCATTCACTCGGATGTTTATTTGTACCCAATTCATTGACCAGCTCCCAGTTGGCTTGTTAGCTCAATTGGTAGAGCGCTGCACCGGTATCGCAGAGGTCATGGGTTCAAATCCCGTACGGGCCTGAAATTTTTTTCAGGTCCTACTTTCAACTACTAGTTTCAGTAGTGTTCTTAGCTGCGAGGATCTTCTAATTTCATCTTTCCACCGCAGTGCAAATATGTGAATTTTCATATATCTAAAATCTTCATTCACTCGGATGTTTATTTGTACCCAATTCATTGACCAGCTCCCAGTTGGCTTGTTAGCTCAATTGGTAGAGCGCTGCACCGGTATCGCAGAGGTCATGGGTTCAAATCCCGTACGGGCCTGAAATTTTTTTCAGGTCCTACTTACAACTACTAGTTTCAGTAGTGTTCTTAGCTGCGAGGATCTTCTAATTTCATCAACTTTTGCAACTTTTTGCAAACCAGCTCAGCACTGAATCAATTAACTATTTGTACAGACTAACAAATCATGTATTTTAGCTACTGAATTTTGCGATTTCAAAATGGATGTAATAAATTGGCAATTGAACTGAATGGAGTGCAATTTCGGCCTGAAATCGTACTTGTGATTTCAAATCAAACTTGCACCGCGCGCTCGTTCGATTTTAAAACCACTCGTATGGAGTACCTTCTATAACATCACCATACACACCTGAAAAGAGTTCAATCTCGATTAATTTCAATCTGACTTCTGTAAGTGCACGTATATCAGTTCCCCCTCTGCATTAATCAAGCATTTTACCTATTAAACATGGATTACTCTTTATCTCAAAAGGACGAGGATATGGAAGGCGATTTAGAAGACGTATGTATCAGTTTTTCTGCCAGTAACGTTGAAAACTTTAAATTTCACTCTAGCTTATTAAAGTTAATTTGGATGTCATCAAAAAAATAGCAAATACAGAGAAGATCCCATAAACAAACTTTACTATCGTACACTTGTGCCTCTGCTTAACGGATGATGTAAACACAAATAGCATTCACACATTGTCATCAAGGGATATTTGCCATAGACACAATTTCAATATTGGATTCACTGCTACTGTCCACAAGAAATGTTCTTCGCTATCTGGTTTCAGCCATAGCTAGTGCCAACCTCCTCTCTTTTCTGGCACGGATCGTCTTTATCTCAGATACCTCAAAGATGACACTAAAAAATTTCTTCTGCCAGTGGAGATTTAGTCTCCTTCGGTATTTACGGTTTAAAGGTCATTAAAACATTAATTTTGTGATTTTAGCACGAAGAGTTATCAAATACCATGGACGGCGCTGTGTGGTTAGGAGAAGAAGGAGATATGTTGTTCGCTTGGGCCGAAAGAAGAAGATCATTCGACGATTTTTACGTAAAATAAGAATCAAGTTGTTACGAAAATACAGGAAGATAAAGCGCATCAGTGGCCGTTGGAGGGTGCGTATAAAGCGACGTTGGTGTAGGCTGCGAAAACGCCGTAGGGGCTGGTTTTATCGTTTGCGGAGACGTTGGAAGAAAATAAGACGCGTTAGACTGACCTGTCGTATAAGAGGTCGACGACGCAGGGTTCGACGCCGACGAAGGAGATGGCTTGTTCGAGTCAAAAGACGCTGGAGACGTTGCAAGCGTCGCGTCACGAGATACATCAGGTATCGAAAGAAGAGAGTCATCGTGCGGAGAGGTAGAGGAGGGTACCGTGTACAACTGAGAAACGGCAAATATGGAAAAACAAGGAGGTTCAGAACTATTTACCGCCGTAAGTATTGAATTGAGAAAGACCGGAATTTAGGGTGAAGGGGAGGGGTAAATAGTCACGAGGTAAGCTATTGACGCTCTTGAAGGTTGCAAAGAATGCACGCACATAATTTGCTTATGTGCCTCACCTGAGTGATGTTTGCACGTTGCAAGCTAGCATATAATTGACTATCTCTTGTTCTTTAATACAGGCAAACGACGCTATCCGATCAGACGAATACCTCGAAGTAGGTTTTGTAAAATTTGCCTTTTTCATTTGATGTTGTTCTGACTGGCAAAGCCCCGAAATATCCTCTCATTCGCGAAAACACCGTCTTTCTCAAAGGAATAGCATTCTCATCAGTTATGCTATGTCATAAATTTCTTCATCAAGAGCACTTAATTCCATTCAGAGAGGAGTGAATCTATAGGAAAATTTTCTTTTAGTAAAAAAGCTATTCCGATTTTAAAAGGCTATCTATATTTCCAGCTGCGGACAAGATTTGCTAACTATAAGGATGTTAGAAAAGCGTGATATTTTAAAAAATGTATAATCGAGGCCTTTTCGTTTTGTTTTACAGAAAGATTATATATTTCTGTTGAAAGTCAAGGCTTTGTTGATAAAAAAAGGGGACGCACATTGTACGGACGCTCGCGGGCCTACATTAAAGTCAATGGAAGAGATTACTCTCGACACAAGCGGGGTTTTAATGTTGTTGTTATCAACTACAAAACTGGTGAGGACGTGTATTTTTACAATTATGAAGAATATTTTAAGTCCAATAGTGATAGTTATGATGTACATTGTTCACGTTACAGATTGGAAGGTTAATTTCTCTTTACTTTTCATTTACGGCATGTGGGCGCGAAATGCCAAACTGTGGGCAGTGCCTAGCAACAAGTAGCTTTAGCGAAAAAAAACAAAAGTTGGCCAAAAACTGCATTTATTTTAACCGCCATGGCCCCGCGCGCATTTCACTTTAAAATCCCTGTGTGAGCGCCGTTTGCGATGGTGTGAGCCGGGCTTAACATTCCCGTATGGCCCCCCGAGCTTTGAGCTTCGAGCAGAAAGAATTCTTGTTGATTGAGTAATGTCGGGCCGAACGGGTAAATGATATGCAATACCTTTATTAACGCCCCCTAATTCTTACTTACATCTGTAGTAATCCATTGCTACAATTGATAGTCGCACTGGAAGATGCCATAATAGAAGTGATCGCTAAACAGAAATAGTTTGCAGTACAGGCGTTATATTTAGGAGCATAATTAAGGATAACAAATAAATAATGGGCAGAGTTGTCAAATCTAATTTCGATAATAGTGGATAGAATGACGGCTCTTTACTCTCGTGTATCAACCACCGTCACATAGAGAAATTTTCCGTTCTCCCCAATCTTCCGATGTTTTGAGGATCCGAGAAGGCAGCTACTCAGATTCCACAGAGGTACCAAGCGTTTTCCTGGAAGTAAAGATACAAAGCGCCTTAATCTGGGCTTAGAAAAAACCAATTGCGGAATTCATGCATTATTGATAATTTTGTCATTATATTGTAAAGGACGTATCGAGGCAAGGCGATCTTTTGACACTCATGGCAGCAGGAAAGCAGCAAGGAGATTCAAGCACTTTATTTACAGAATCAGGCGTGGGTAAGTTCATTTTAACCTCTGTCCTTATATTGATATACATGGAGGCACAAATTTGCTCAAGGTCAAGGGCACAGGTTTTTCATACAGATAGACCGGTAAATAACTTATTCAGTTTTTTCTGCTAGTTTGCTTAGCCGCGAATGGCGAGGAAAACAATTGCAGACCGTTGTCAATATTGTAAAAGCCTGACCGTGAAAAAAGAACGATTGTGAAATAAATTTTCATGCTTTCATAATTTATGTTCTATAATGTTGCATCGCCGCGGCTTGCAATAGAACGGAGTAACTGGTGTTTTTGTCTTGTTGTAAGGACTTTAAGCCCGGCGCACACTAGAGCTATTAGCTGAGCTGAGCATCACTCGTGGCTGTTGGCGTAAGCTATTTCCTCAAGTGTGCGGTGTCATGTTCTGCGATTTTTGTCACGCGTGCCATGAGCTCAGAATATTCAACATGTCGAATATTTTCGTGCACGAGTGAACATTGACTCACAGTGTGCGCGCTTTTTTAGCTATCAGCTCAGGAATCAATGCGAACGCGCATGCGTCTTTGCCATGTTTTATTGAAGTCAAGATGGCAAAGCAAAGCAAAACCTCTTCATCCTCCGACGAGCTTGAATCTAGATTTTCACCGACATCGGCCATCTTGACTTCAATAAAACATGACAAGGACGCATGCGCGTTCGCATTGATTCTTGAGCTGATAGCTCAAAACGCGCGCACACTGTGAGTCAATGTTCACTCGTGCACGAAATTATTCAACATGTTGAATATTCTGAGCTCATGGCACGCGTGACAAAAATCGCAGAACATGACACCACACACTTGAGGAAACAGCTTACGCCAACAGCCACGAGTGACGCTCAGCTCAGCTGATAGCCCTAGTGTGCGCCGGGCTTTACATGCGTATATATTTGCAGTAACATTTTAAAATTATGATTTAAATATTGTGTCTGATTATACTGTACGGGGTAAGACGAGTTTGAATTTGATACCACGATCTCAAACAACTTTTTTGTCATAAACAGGGTTTGGTTTTTACGGCAGCATACCCCCTCTACCCCCTCTTATACTTTCTCTACGTAATCAATTCCCCCCCCTTCCCCCCGCTATCAATAATGGTAATGTTGCGAGTTAAAAAAAGTATTCCATAATACAATGATGGCCTCTCATAATGATTACAGGAGGATTGTTTTAATCGCCATCCAAGATGAAGCGTATCGGTTTGGAAGATATTACAAGTACGTCTTCAGAAGGCTTGGCATCAGCAACACACGCAGAATAAGACTCAGTTTCAGAAGTAGTCTTGCCTTGATCGGTTATGTGGGTCGGCGTCCATCCTGGCTTAGATATATGAGTCGAACTCAAAGACGAGGCCCAAGTTACGCGAGGATTCGCATCACAACAAGGGGTACATAAAATAGAAACTAAATAAAAAACTAAATTGTTTCTTAGTGCTTCATTTAAATGTTGATTTTTATGTGGTCTTCACTGAAAGTTAGCTTCTAACTTTTCTCTGTTCTCATCATAGGTGGAAGACAAAGACCTACGAGATCAGGAAGTATGTTTATTAAAATTTGATGTTGTGATTGTTAAATCTCCTAAATGTGTCTTCATTTGCGAAAATAACGTTTTGATTACACAAGTACAAATCATCTTAATTGCCTTTTTCATTTGATGTTGTTCTGGCCGGCAAAGCTCCGAAAATATCCTCTCATTTGCGAAAACACCATCTTGCTCAAAGGAATAGAATTCTCATCAGTTATGCTATGTCATAAATTTCTTCATCAAGAGCACTTAATTCCATTAAGAGAAGAGAGAATTTATAGGAAAATCCTCTTTTAGTAAAAAAGCTATTCCGATTTTAAAGGGCTATCTATCTTTCCAGCTGCGGACAAGATTTGCTAACTATAAGGATGTTAGAAAAGCGTGATATTTTCAAAAATGTATAATTGAGGCCTTTTTCGTTTTATTTTATAGGAAGATTATCTTTTTCTGTTGAAAGTCAAGGCTTTGTTGATAAAAAAAGGGGACGCACATTGTACGGACGCTCGCGGGCCTACATTAAAGTCAATGGAAGAGATTACTCTCCACACAGGCGTGGTTTTAATGTCGTTGTTGTCAACTACAAAACTGGTGAGGACGTGTATTTTTACAGTTATGAAGAATATTTTAAGTCCAATAGTGATAGTTATGATGTACATCGTCCACGTTACAGATTGGAAGGTTAATTTCTCTTTACTTTTCATTTACGGCATGTGGGCGCGAAGGGCCATACTGTGGGCAGTGCTTAGCAACAAGTAGCTTTAGCGAAAAAAACCAAAGTTGGCCTAAAACTGCATTTATTTTAACCGCCATGGCCCCACGCGCATTTCACTTCAAAATCCCAGTGTGAGCGCCGTTTGCAATGGCGTGAAATTCGAGAAATTTTCCGTTCTCCCCAATCTTCCGATGTTTTTCGGACCCGAGAAGGCAGCTACTCAGTTTCCACAGAGGTACCAAGCGTTTTCCTGAAAGTAAAGATACAAAGCGTGTTAATCTGGGCTTAGAAAAAACCAATTGCGGAATTCATGCATTATTGATATTTTGTCATTATATTGTAAAGGACGTATCGAGGCAAGGCGATCTTTTGACACTCATGGCAGCAGGAAAGCAGCAAGGAGATTCAAGCACTTTATTTACAGAATTAGGCGTGGGTAAGTTCATTTTAACCTCTGTCCTTCTATTGTTATACATGGAGGCACAAATTTGCTCAAGGTCAAGGGCACAGGTTTTTCATACGGATAGACCGGTAAATAACTTATTCAGTTTTTTTTGCTGGTTTGTTTAGCCGCGAATGGCGAGGAAAACAATTGCGGACCGTTGTCAATATTGTAAAAAGCCTGACCGTGACAAAAGAACGATTGTGAAATTCATTTTCCTACTTTCATAATTTATGTTCTTTAATGTTGCATCGCCGCGGCTTGCAGTAGAACGGAGTAACTGGTGTTTTTGTCTTGTTGTAAGGGCTTTACATGCGTCCATATTTGCAGTAACATTTTAAATTATGATTTTAAATATTGTGTCTGATTATACTGTACGGGGCAAGACGGGTTTGAATTAGACACCACGATCTCAAACAGCTTTTTTTTCATAAACAGGGTTTGGTTTTTACGGCAGCATACCCCCTCTACCCCCTCTTATACTTTCTCTACGTATTCAACTCCCCTCCTCCCCCCGCTATCAATAATGGTAATGTTGCGAGCTTAAAAAAAGTATCCCATAATACAATGATGGCCTCTTTAAATGATTACAGGAGGATTGTTTTAATCGCCATCCAAGATGAAGCATATCGGTTTGGAAGATATTACAAGTACGTCTTCGGAAGGCTTCACATCAACACACGCAGAATAAGCCTCAGTTACAGAAGTAGTCTTGCCTTGATCGGTTATGTGGGTCGGCGTAGACCATTCTGGCTTAGATATATGAGTCGACCTCAAAGACGAGGCCCAAGTTACGCAAGGATTCGCATCAGAACAAGGGGTACATAAAATAGAAACTAAATAAGAAACTAAATTTTTCTTAGTGCCTCATTTAAATGTTGATTTTTATGTGGTCTTCACTGAAAGTTAGCTTCTAACTTTTCTCTGTTCTCGTCATAGGTGGAAGACAAAGGCCTAGGGGATCAGGTAATATGCTTATTAAAATTTGATGTTGTGATTGTTAAATCTCCTAAATGTGTCTTCATTTGCGAAAGTAACGCTTTGATTAAAGAAGCACAAATAACCTTAATCATACGCATACTTTACGAAAATCAATAGAATCTTGCAATTCCACTTTTTAATAGCATCCAGTTTTCTAGTAATAGAGAATTTACTTTGTTTCTTGGATTCTTAGTATCATCATTAAAAAATTAGTTTTCTAATTTTAGCAAGGAGAGTTATCAGATACCATGGACGGCGCTGTGTGGTTAGGAGAAGAAGGAGATATGTTGTTCGCTTGGGCCGAAAGAAGAAGATCATTCGACGATTTTTACGTAAAATAAGAATCAAGTTGTTACGAAAATACAGGAAGATAAAGCGCATCAGTGGCCGTTGGAGGGTGCGTATAAAGCGACGTTGGTGTAGGCTGCGAAAACGCCGTAGGGGCTGGTTTTATCGTTTGCGGAGACGTTGGAAGAAAATAAGACGCGTTAGACTGACCTGTCGTATAAGAGGTCGACGACGCAGAGTTCGACGCCGACGAAGGAGATGGCTTGTTCGAGTCAAAAGACGCTGGAGACGTTGCAAGCGTCGCGTCACGAGATACATCAGGTATCGAAAGAAGAGAGTCATCGTGCGGAGAGGTAGAGGAGGGTACCGTGTACAACTGAGAAACGGCAAATATGGAAAAACAAGGAGGTTCAGAATTATTTACCGCCGTAAGTATTAATTGATATTAATTAGTATTGATTACTCATAGAGTTTACAATTTTTTTTTCCGTTTTTCAACCGAAATTTTTTAGTAGGTAGTTTTCTAGTTAGACCCTAACTAGTGCTAAAGCGATCGGCACCATTCGATAGAATCAGACCGAACAATTCCCAAAGAGCTAGGCAACCGGAACTTCTACAATCATCCAAATATATAAATGAGCTTTTTTTTCAGTTTGATCACCTGGTGCTTCATATGGAAACTTGGCTTAAGCTGGCTCAATTTGTCATAAACGCATACATCTTTGAGGAAATTTATCCACAGCTGTTCGTTATTTTGTCTAGAAGGAGACACTAAATCTTAAAATGGCATCATTGTGATTCAGAACCTCTGGACATTGAAGAAATAAACATATTTACAAACATTGCATTTCTTTGGTAGGGTTCTCAGCGTTGGCAAGAAGTCACACCCATAAAGTAATCATGAAAATTACTCTGTTTATTTTACGCTTTACTTTTTTTTCTGGTAGGGTTCATTAGAGTGAGATTAGAAAGTCAAGGTTTTGTTGATAAAAAAAGGGGACGCACATTGCTCGGACGCTCGCGGGCCTACATCAGAGTAAATGGAAGAGATTATTCCCCACACCGGCGTGGTTTTAATGTTGTTCTTGTTAACCGTAGAACTGGTAAGAAAACTGTAGACTTTGAGGTTTCATTTTCTTTTTTTTCGCATATGTCCCAGCTGATGTGAGTGGATTTCTGTTGTTAACTTTGGGCATTTGGATGTCGAGCGACGTTCTATCGCCAGTGACACTTTTATCTAAATACTCTTCTGAGTTACATGCTGTAAATTCTTAAAATGAAAATCTGAGAGATACGCACTCTGAACAGGAGACTCCAGTGGTCTCGGCTGTATTATAGAGCGCTTTTCGCTTGAGTGTCGTCAAACCAAATCATCTGGGTAGTTGAAGCCAATCAAAAGAATTGGAAAAGATTATAAAGAGCAACTGAGATCTCAAATCAAAATCTGATAAACTGCCTCAAGCATGGGAAGAGGCAAGTGACAAGGACGCACTTTTAACGTTTTGAATATGATTTAATTAGATATTTAATTAGATCAACCCTCTTGTATAGAGAGTCTGAAGCCCACTGCGTAAAACCAGTTTAGGTTCCTTTGCACCTGTTATGAAGCTTGTATATCTTCATGGGGGAAAAAAACAAAAGCATAACTGACTTTGCAATCTGGTTATGACCAACAGGTCGGGTTTTCCGAAGGCGAAGTTTTGACACCCATGGCAGCCGTTATCAAGCAAAGAAATTCAAGAATTTTATTTACGGAATAAAAAGCGGGTATGTTGCGTTAACCTAAGTTACCGTTATCGAATTTTCCATAGTTGGGCCAGACACTCAATAAGTTTTGTTCCATTGCTAACCGCTTATGCTCTGATGTGACATGAATATATTTTTTAACTACTCGGGATATTCTTGACCCTATTTGGAAACCGTGAGATTTAAAGTTTTATTTCTTTTTGTTTGCAATTTCGGGCCATCACTTGGAGCAGGAGTTTCTCACTGTCTATGCTGATGCGATCGCAAGGTGCTTTTGGGAACAAATATTTCCAATAATTTTTCTATCGTTAACTAAGAGAGGTGGCTAAAATAACGAGAAAAAGTTTAAACCAGGAAGAATCAAGTACGAGTCGTGTGGAATCTGAAACTATTTCCTCTATCCCTGCATCCATCCAGCTTATCCTTCTAATTTTTTTTCCAGTTATCCCCCACCCTTGAAGATAATTTTTCAAATTCATACCCCAAGTAATAATTCCCAAATGATTCTAAAGAGGGCTTCGTAACATAACGGATCCTACCTGTATTTTATTACCGAGTCTTTGAACTGAATCCTCTGGTCAATATTTCAGCACGATTGTGTTAGTTGCTATCCAAGATGAAGCATATCGATTCGGAAGATATTACAAGTACGTCTTCAGAAGGCTTAAAATCCACCCACGCAGAATAAGATTCGGTTTCAGAAGTAGTCTTGCCTTGATCGGTTATGTGGGTCGGCGCAAACCATCTTGGCTTAGATATATGAGTCGACCTCAAAGACGTGGCCCAAGTTCCTTGGTCTCTCGTATCCCACTTGGCCGAGGTATGTTGAAGTTAGAAAGGTCTTTTGAAACAAACGGAATTAAATAATTTTGAAAGGAAAAAACTGCTAAGAAACTTAGCTTTTTTAATTACAGCATAACACAGGGAACATGACGTCATAACTGTGCTTATACACTCTTCCCACGATCAAAATTTATACAAAAAAGGCCACCTCTAGGGATCGCTGTTCTTTGACTCCATTTCTATATTTTTTGGTAGGGTTCTTAAGATTGTACGTGCAAAGTCAAGGTTATGTTGATAAATCCTTACTAATAATCTGAAGGAAGCACAGAAATGTCCAGTGAAATTCCACGTCCTTCCAAACGCTGACGTGTCTTGTGTATTCCTTTAGGTAAACCAGAAAAAGTAGAAGAAAAAAATTATTTGTAATGATGACTTAATCCTTAGTGCGCGCCTCATTCCTGAGTGCGTGCTTATCTGTCATGACAACTTATCTTTTTGGCTTACCCTAATTGTGACTTTTTGATATGTTGAAGTTTCCGGAAGAAAGTACCGAAGAATAATAAGAAGGAAACGACGACGAGTCCGACGAAGAAATCGTCGTAAAAGACGTCGAAGACGGAGATATCGAAGACAAAAAATAAGGAGAAAGAGACGACGACGCAGGAGACGAAAACGTGAGTGTACTCTTTCTTAGGGCGGTCGCAATTTTTTTAAGATGTCACCAATCTATTTTTCAGGAAAGTCGGCGCCCTGATGATTTCACTTTAGAGAGGACGATGTATTTTTCTTGCGCCGCGATGGGTGCGATCTTAAGATCTTTCTCTGAAGTTTATATGATTATCTGCCGTTCCCATTTTCTGTGACATAACGCAGTATTAAGCATAAAATTTAAATGTACTGTAGTATAGCAATGAGAAGCCTTGATTAATTTTTTTAATGCGTCAAGTGAGTTCAATACTTAATCGTAATGTTCGTACCTTTTTGCTTTTAGGGAGGACACTCGTTGTTTATCACGGACGCCGTAAGCCGATAATAAGGAGGCCAATATTAGGGCTGACTTGGAAGAGAAGGGTTAGGCCTCTGCTTCGCTTGACAGTTTACGTCAGGGGCAGGTATAGGCCACTCAAGCGAAAAGGTCGATACTGGTATACATTCATCAGCCCACGATGGGTTAGAGTCATCAGAGGAAAGAGTGTTTGGTATTACCGTTCCCGAAATCGCTGGCTCAAACTCAAACCTGTCAGGCTTTCGGCACGTGTTGGACGCAGGCGATGCAGTATACGACCTCGTGGACGTAAGCTGTACGCTCGCATCGGGAGGCGTTACAAGCGTGTAAAAACGCGATTCATACGCTATGTCCGTTTCAAAGGAAAAAGATTTACAGTCAAGAGAAGAGGGAGGAAGGTTATACTCATCCGTAAAGGAAGACGGACTCGACCTCTGGCAGTAGTACGTTCCCGTAAGTGAAAGATTGTTTTTTGGACATACGAAAGAGCTCAATTTACGCATGTGTCGTCTTGATGGTAATTAATATCGTTAAAATTGTTGGTGCTAAGTTAGCTATATTTCCGATGTCTAAAACTTTCTTGGAAGAGTTAGGCAATTTTCAGTTGCCGGCTATTTGAGTAAGCTGGAAAGGTTGGGGATAGGTATCAAGAAACTTAGGAAACAGCAGAACAAATTCTTGTTCACGCAGGTCCATTTAGTTTTTCAATGAAATCCTTCGCCTGGTAAGTGAATTACATCAGAAATTCTGACTAAAGTTTTTGGAGATCGGAATCGAATGTGTCTTCTTTTGCGCATTTTCCCAATCATGAGGATGCCGTCAAACGCTTAGTTGTAGGCTGATAGCACTTGCATGCATAACATTGTAATGCATCGTTTGACTCTAATTAACGTTTAAATTTAGAAATCAAGTTCACACCAAAAGTTACAACAATCTGCCTTTCGTCGAGGAATCGGATTTTTGATGTAAGGGTCGTTCGATTAAAGATCATCAAAGTGCACTGATTCCAGTAGTTTGTTTGTTCGAGGAAAGTCAAAGGATTCCGAATATTCTCCGTTTTTCTTTCTTTTTTTTTTGTTTTTTTTTTGCACCTATCAACACGAGTCTCGCCGCATTAAAAGGAAGCGACTTTGCTAATAGAAACTTTTTGATTATGGCAGGACGTTATAGCCGCAAACTTTTGGTAAGGAGGAGAAGAAGGAGATTGCGCAGAATCAGACGTGGGCGGCGAAGATTGCTCAGAAGAATCAGGCGGTACTTCAAACGAAAGCGACGGGGACGAAGAGGTCGTCGAATACAACGTACGTACTTTTATGATCCCAGTGCTATCGTTGATTACCCTCTCTCCAATGAACATCTCCTGAAAAAAAATAATGACTAAACCCTCTTCCTCCCACCCTCCTTCCTCGGTTGCGGAGAAAATCAGGAATAATAGCTTTTTCCCTGAAACAAGTCTCTCCACCCCACCCTTGCCCATTAATGAAAAGAGGAAAGTTGAAGAAAGAAAAACAGAAAAAAAAAGACAAAAAGACAACGACGACGAATTAAACGAAGAAAAAAAAGAAGAGACATTGCCGACAGCGTTGATTCGTTTCTCACTTTAGCGGCACTTCTTGCTTTTGATTGATTTTCTTATTTCGATTATTAAAAAGAAATTCACATTTGGAACAATTTTAGAAGGTTTACCTCTTTTCGTTGTTATGTGTGATCGCCGAACTCTGTGTCGTAGAAGAAATTACCTTTTCTGAGCAACATTAGGGTTAGAAGTCACACTTATTATAAGTAATTATGATGAGAATTACTCGGTTTATTTTACGCTTTAATTATTTTTTGGTAGGGTTCATTAAAGTGAGATTGGAAAGTCAAGGCTTTGTTGATAAAGTAAGGGGACGCAAATTGTACGGACGCTCGCGGGCCTACATCAGAGTAAATGGAAGAGATTACTCTCTACACCGGCGTGGTTTTAATGTTGTTCTTGTCAGCCGTAGAACTGGTAAGAGACAGTAGACTTAGGATGTCATTTCCTTTTTTTGCATATGTCCCAGCTGATGTAACTGTATTTCAGTTGTCAAATTTGCGCATTTGGATGTCAGGCGACGTTCTATTGCCAGTGAAATTTTTTTCTAAATACTCTTCTGAGTGACATGTTTTGAGTTGTCATAATGAAGGCGCCAGTGGTCTCGGCTGTATTGTAGAATGTATTGTATCAAACCAAAACCATCTGGGTAGCAGAAGACAATCAAAACAAATGGAAAAAATCATATGCAAAATCAAATTCTAATAAACCGCCTCAAGTGCAGGAAAAGGTAGTCGACAAAGACGCATTTGAAAAGTTTTGAATATGATTTTATTAGATATTTAATCAGATCAATCCTCTTGTTTAGAAAGTCTGAAAGCCCCCTAACTGCGTAAAACCATGGTTTGGATAGACTTCGTGTAAATAACCAGCACTAAGTAATTAAATACTTTACAGCAGTTATATTGTTTTAGTTAAGCTTCCTTTGCACCTGTTATGAAGCTTGTGTATCTTCATGGGAAAAAAAAATTACGTAACTGAATTTGCAATCTGGTTATGACCAACAGGTCGGGTTTTCCGAAGGGTAAGTTTTGACACTCATGGCAGCCGTAATCAAGCAAAGAGATTCAAGAACTTTATTTACAGAATCAGAAGCGGGTATGTTGCGTTAACCTAAGTTACCGTTATCGAATTTCCTACAGTATATATAGTATTTACCTCGGCGAGATAGGAAAAGAGTTTCTGGGCACTCAATAAGTTTTGTTCCATTGCCAACCGCTTGTGCTCTGATGTGACATGAATCTATTTTTTTATCTGATGGATATTCTTGACCCTATTTGGTAACCGTGAGATTTAAGGTTTTATTTCTTTTTGTTTGCAATTTCGGGCCATCACTTGGAGCAGGGAACAAATATTTCCGAGAAATTTTTTATCGTTAACTAAGAGAGGTTGTTAAAATAATGAGCAAAAATTAATACCAGGAAGAATCAAGTACGAGTCGTGTAGAAACCGAAACTATTTCCTCTATCCCTGCATCCATCCCGCTAGTCATTACTTCTAACTTAATTTTTTTCCAGTTATCCCTCATCCTTTATTATTTTTCCAATTCATACCCCAAGTGATAAATCCCAAATGATTCTCAAGAGGGCTTCGTAACCTAGTGGATCCTACCTGCAATTTATTACCGAATCTTTTTACTGAATCCCCGGGTTAATATTTCAGCACGATTGTGTTAGTTGCCGTCCAAGATGAAGCATATCGGTACGGAAGATATTACAAGTATGTCTTCAAAAGGCTTCAGATGTTACCACGCAGAATTAAGCTCAGTTACAGAGGCAGTCTTGCCGTGATCGGTTATGTGGGTCGAGTCAGACAACGTTGGCTTAGATATAGGTTTAGAACTCAAGGACGTGGCCCAAGTTCCGTGGTCTCTCGTATCCCACTTCGCCGAGGTATGTTGAAGTTAGAAAGGTCTTTTGAAACAAACGGAATTAAATAATTTTGAAAGCAAAGAACTTCTTAGTACGGTGGGCCGTAGAGGACATATAATAATTAATGCAATATAATCAGAAAGATCAGATTATCCACATTTGTTCTCAGGCACTTACAGCCATCTCTGAAAGTGTCTCGTAAGAGTTTACAAAATCAAGGTTTACTGTACTGTTCACAGAGCTATGTATCGTAGAAGTATTGCAAAGTACTGCTCAATGATCTTTTAACGAAAATAAAACAAACTATTGACCTCAAAACATACCTCCTCAACTGTTGCAGCCATTGTCGTCTCGTCCACGGAAACGACGAGCGTGACAGCCGATCACGTGCGACTTAACAAGTTTCCCATTTATCGCTCGATAATGTACCATTTATCACGCGATAAAATTGAATTTAAAAAGTAGATAGCGTGTCCTCTATGGACCACCGTAGCTTAGACCCTTACACTTTTTAACTACAGCAGAACACAGGGAATGTGACGTCATAACTGTGTTTATACACTCTTCCCAAGATGATATTTTATACGAAAAAGTCACCTCTTCGGATTGCAGATTGGTATTATAAAAAAAGTATCTGCACCTCTAGCTTAGCTTCACCCCTCACCTATCACAGTTCAGTAAAATATTGATCTCTGATGCGAATCGACCGATTGAGAATGAGATCGTTTGTTAATTTTATTTCCCTAGGAGCGCTAAGAGGGGTAAGACGAAGAAGTAGAAGACAGCAAAGGGTAAAAAGGCGAAAGAGAAGGAGACGAAGAAGGCGAAGAAGGCGACGTAGATTGAGGCGAAGAAAGAATCGTCGGAGAAGAAGAAGAAGACGAAGAAGAAGAAGAAGAAAAAGGAGACGACGAATAAAACGATGTAAGTCTTTTATCAATAACTCTGGAAATATATTTACTCTCGTACTTACGGCGATACTGTGAAAATAAATGTCATGGAGCATTCTTCACAAAAAAATCCCTAATTCTGGGATTTTTATCTTGACTTGACCTCAGAATTATTTCAGTATCCAAAGGTCCAGGATTTCATTCCTCGTACTCACCTAGTCCTACATTCGTTACAATGACGAATAGCATATTTGTCTACCTGTCGATTCTGCTTAAAATTTACCTCTTTTTTTCGTTTTATTGAGTTTAATGTCATTTTGTTATTTTGTTTATTTATGATACATCGATATAAATAAAAGGGATAACATAGACATAAATATTATATAACTGAAAATTTAACATGTGGCGAGGAAACCCGTAGAGAAACCAAGAGGCTTATGCGTGTTACAGGTTCCTCGTATTTTACATCAGTACTATGGCGTGATTCATGTACAAAGTATTTGAAGTTAAAAGACACTCGCACGCAGAAAACAACAACAACAATAGCAGGCACTGAAACAAACATATTCTTCAGCAGCCTGACTATTTTTGCCAAAATATTATACAAACAGTGACCTTAGTGGCATATAAATATGACGTGGAATCCCAACAAAAATCACCTCACCCCTGTTGTTCGAAGGGTAGATAACGCTATCTACTGGATAAATCTCTTTCCGTTGGATAGTGCAGTACAATTGCTAACACTTACCACTTTCCATCCGCAGTTATCTTCAAATACCACGGTCGGCGACGTGTGGTGCGCACAACACGAAAGTACGTTTTCAAGCTAAAGGGCAGGAGGTATCCCATAGTCGGGTTCAAAAGGCGCTTAAGACTACGTATAAAACGGAAATGGTGCAGGCTTAGACGAAAGGGTCGACGATGGAGGGTACGTATTAAGAGGCGGTGGTGCCGCCTGAAGAAACGAAGAGGAAAGTGGCTCTACAAACTTAGAAGAAGATGGTTGCGTCTTAGAAGGGTCCGGCTTACAGTACGCATCAAGCGTAGATACTACCGTGTAAGACGCCGAAGAGGACGGTGGTCATGTAAGGTCAAGAAAAGATGGAGAGGAATAAAGCGAAGGCGTTTGTCATATTTCCGCTTTAAAGGACGCAAGCGTTATGTAAGGATTGGGCGAAGAAAAATAACCTATAAACGAAAACGATTCAGGTTCATAAAACGGATTACTCGTCGTAGAAAAGGTGATTATTTTTAAAGGTTGTTGAATGTTAACTACATGGAGGGCATTAAGCCTTGGATTTTTGAGGAATTAATTCTCAGCCGAAGTAAAAGATAAAATACCCAAGGGAAACTGAATACTATCTTCTGTTCGACAAGTCAGTGCTGGTCAATATATACTTAACTAACCCATTTTGTAGTGATTACTGTCACTGTTTTTGATCATTTCAATTTTTTTAAACTACCCTCAGTCAATACCCTAGAGCCCTATCTGCTTTGGGAGTTTACATCTGATACAATCGCAAGGTTTTTTTTTTTTTGCTGTAGAGCTGTATGATGAACGGTCGCTTGCCAATTTTGTGATGTCCTACTCATCTTTTGGTAGCAATTAGAGCTTCAGTAATACAACTGATGATCTGGTGGATCCTTTAGCGTCGCAACACACCCAAAAGATACTTACTTGGCTTCGTCTCGGGGAAAATTGAGTTTCTCGAAGGAGTAAATCTCAGTATTTCCCTGGGGCCGATCATTTAGAGAGTATCGTCTTGTAAAAAATAATAAACTTGTATGTATCGTATTGTTTGATGATGTTCGTGTTAGTTGCACCCTGTATTTGAACAATAACTTTCGAATTACGTTTCAGTCTTGAGCCGACGTGCTAAAAGGCGAATTTTACGTCGGCGACGAAGAAGGTTCAGACGGCGGTTAAGGCGAAAACGACGCAGAAGGAGAAAAAGGAGGAGAAGACGCCAAAGAAGACGCCGTCGACGAAGGCGAAGACGAAGAAGGGGGCCAAGGAGAAGAGGTAGGGGGGGACATGAGTTCATAACTCAGTGCTAAGGCTTTGTTCTGTAAAATGCCTAGTCACGACGATTGCGCATTAAAGCAGATACGGTAGCAAGGGCTCAGATAAGTATTTATATTTCCATTTCCCACCAAGCTCCTTAAAACTCGTATTTCGGAAGTGAAAACTTCAGGATTCACTCACGTTTCTTTTAAATAACAGATTTATCCACAATTTTTACCTACAGTGACGGAGAAATTTGAATCACAGATATCATCCGCTTGTTCGTGAAATGCACAAAGTTTGGTTACTTCAGTCGGGTTTGACGGTCCTTTTTAGGAAAGCCTTTTGGAAGCCCCTAACCACCTTTTGAATTGAACACACGGTAAATAGACGATAAATCTTTCTTGAAATATATTCTCACAGGTGTTAGTAGGAGACGATATCGAAGGCAACGAAGACGACGACGGAGAAGAAAACTGAGGAAGCGTAGGCGAAGACGTCGCAGAAGACGTCGGCGACGAAGAAGTAGGCGACGTAGAAAACTCCGAAGAAGACGGCGACGAGGTGAGGCAAACCATTGATAGTATACTGCAGATATTTGAAACCGGCAGCCTAATATAACAAGGGTTACTTGGAAATGGAAGAACCAATTTGACGTTTCTTAAGGTAGTTGATAAAAAATTGCAAGCTCTAAGCGCCGGAAAACAAGATTTTTTTTAGCTGCAATTGGCTAAAATGGAAAATTTGGTTTCACCCTTCTGAACCATTAACGGGTAATTTAAAAGTAAAATCAGATTCAACGTAAAATCGAGAGATTCAGGAACAATTTCAACACAGAATGGCAACTGGCTCACTCCCTTTCCCCCACGAATGACGCTACAAAAATGTACATAGAATGCAGGAAAATTGCTTTTGTGCACATTATGAGGAGAATCACCCATGATCATATCATGTGCGTAGTTGGAATGTTGATGACGGTGATGACGAGGGATTATAAGAATAATGATAACGACATTTATAAATATAAAAAAATAAAAATATTAAAAATAACGATTAAAAAATTAACCGTCTTTCTTGATCTGATTACAAATGGTGATAAGCGATAATAAAAACGATCACAGCCTGAAATATTTTTTCTATAACTACTGTAGCATTGCGACTACCCAAATTACGTTTTGGCGGTAAATACCGAAGAATAGGTACCATTAGACGTTGGGTTGTAAAGGTAGGCAGAAGAAAGTATCAAGTCCGTGGTTTCCAGCGTGGGCGCCTCACCATTAGGGTCGGCAAGAGAACTGCACCGCTCATACATAGAGGACCTTTCTGGTATATACGTTTCGGAAGAAGACTGGTGAAAGTGAAAAAAAGGGGAGGACGACGGTATATAATTTTGAGACAGAAGATAATCTATTTGAGGTGGATCCTCAAGTTACGATTCAAGGGTGTCAGACGCTTTGTTCGATGTCGCAGAGGAAAGTACAGTATTCGGTTCCGAAGAAAATGGTTGCCAATGAGAAAGCGTCGGCAGAATTTCATCAAGCGTGGACGTCGAAGATATTCGATAAAGAAACGAGGCAGGAAATACTTCGTGAGATATCGAAATAAGTGGAAACGAACGAAATTGAAATGGAAGAAGCGATATCGGAGAGGTAGGTTTCAGTAGGTTTCACCAGTGGAATAGAGAAAGATGTTTTTCGTCTTATCGCGAGCGTGGGACCAAGAAAAAATTCTGAGTCCTCATGAACATTATTTACAAACATGACGCTATGGACATTGTAGATCCTAGCAGTATGCAGCGTTTCATATGAACTTCGTAATAGACCTCGCCCACCGTAGAGTCTCTGTGGCTCACTGGTAAAGCATAGGAGAGGGGAATCCGAAGGTCGGAGGTTCGATTCCTCGTGGGGACTCAGATTTTTTTTCTTTGTCCCACGCTCGTGACAAGACAAAGAACATCTTTCTCTATTTCTTTACCAAGCTCAAAACTAAGCATCTCTCTTATTCTATTTACCAATAGAATAGGTTTGAGTATTATGGCGGTGATAGTTTTTTCTCCTTTATTTTCTAATCAGATACATCATAATTCTGTCCCGAGTTTTGAATGAAACGGAAACTTCATTTCATATCCAAAAAGCAATGAAGAAATTGATCTTTTGAAAAATGAGAAAATGATAAATAAGGATTGTAACTTTGGCCACGCCCTGTAATGGTCAGATGTACAGATATCAGCTTGAAAATGTTGTCGGGCGAATCATTGCGGGTACAGGTTGCCCGAGGCAAGGATGACATACGAGCATTTTGGAACTTATTAGAAGCCAAGAAAGTAGCCATTTACCTGGTGTGTCGATGGATTCTTTTAGGAAGGCGACGTTACAGGATCCGTCGAAGACGACAAAAGAGGAGGCGGCTTCGACGACGTAGAAGACGGAAAAGGAGAAGGCGACGAAGGCGACGAAGGCGAATCAAAAGGAAGCTCAGACGACGTAAGTATATTACGTTGTACCCCACCGGTGTTCGTGCTGTCATTGTTTAATGCAGCATGAAATTGTGGCACTAACCTTTTTTTTTCAGCGGAACCGGGGTTCGTTAAAGGCAATTTCAAGCAGAAAGGGCGAAGAAACAGTTAGAATTTTTGAGCATTCATGGTGTTAATTTGCCTGAATGATCTCGTTACTAGCACTTTACGGGATCATCATTACTAGAACTTTACTGGGTCATTATTAATTTTGGAGTGGTAAAATAAAATTTAAGTATAAATATGAGCTGAGTTTTTGATCCTGTCGAAGTTTATATTGATCGCACTTGCTTTAACCCTTTAACTCCCGTGAGTGATCAAGACAGAATTTCTCCTTACATTATCAATACAATTGCAAGCAGACAAGTGATGAGAATAAAGAGAAATAGCAATAAGGGGATTATCAGTTGATCCAGTAACAAATTCTCAAAACTAAAATCATAAAAATTGTACAGCAGTCAGCAAAGAGAATTACTAACGGAAATGAAAAGGTTAAGCAAAATTGGTTATAAGTATTACGAATCGATAGGGTGCTATCCCGTCGCAAAAAGGAATAAAAATGTTTGGAAGGTAATTTACGCGCAAATTTAAAAATTTGTCATCAAACCAGGGTCGAAATAGGACTTGTGTGTCATTTTTTTCCATCGCAAGGGAACTGAATCAGCAAATTTTCCCTAAGATAAATTACGCGAAATTTTTGTAGAAACAGCTTGTGTCACCTAATTAAATGGTAGAATTTTAATAAAAAGGTTTAAATACGCTTTCAAAAGCTTTTCAAATCGCTTTTGGACAGATGTACTTACCGAAATTGATTCCAATTTGTAGGAAGAAGAGCATCAAGGATACGCTTTGGACGTAAATATCGCACAATAAAATATCGCAGACAGTACGTCATCCGATACAACAAAAGAACAACTCGATTACCTAATTTCAACCGGCGTGGACTAACAATCCGTGTATTTAAACGACAGAGGCGAATTTTCAGAGTGCGCAGACGATGGTATATTAAGATAGGACGAAGAACGGTTCGTGTTGTGCGACGTGGCCGCCGTCACGCTATACGCTGGAAAAAAAAATGGGTGTGGTTGAGATGGAGATTTAGATTACGCTTTAAGGGCGTCACGCGGGTGATTAGGTGTCGTGGAAGACGTTGGAGAATCCGTGTAGGAAAACGCTTCAGACCTATTAGAAAACGGAGAACACCCTACATCATAGCTGGACGGAGACGATATCCAGTGAAAAAAGCAAAAGGAGGAAGATATCGTATATGGGTGAAAACGAAATGGAGTAGAGCAAAGAGAGTCAAACGACCGCGGCGAAGACGTAAGTAACAAAATTTTGCCAAGTGCGATTGATAGTTTCTTTTCGGGTAAGAAATATGTTGGACCATAGTGTTCGATACATTCTCTTTCTCACAGCTGTCAACAGGGTTTAGCTGAAAGCACTTCGTTTGGCGCGTATTTTTCGCTGAGTTCGTACCGATCAAAGAATTAATTGAGCGCTGAAGGAGTGAACTACCACTCTGGACATTTATATGATTTTCTTGGGGCTCGGAAATTAGAAGTTCAATAATCACTTTCAGACCGCGGTCTCGGACTTTTTGTTCTCACAGTTACCGTTCCATTTGTGGCTTCGGTGTTGCGTGTGTTCCTTTGTGTTTGAATTTAATTTAATAATTTTTTTAAACTCAGACTTTTTTCCCAATAAAAACCAGACTGACAAGAAAGTATAGATGGACACGAGTGGGGCTGTACTTTAGCGAGGGTTGCCTGTTTCGTTAGATAGTCAAGACTGTTTTTTGCTGTCTTTGTGATATCACATCTTTTCTGGTGCGCCAATGATATCGTTATTTAGACTGCGTCAGTTCTCAATTTGGAACCGGTACTTTCGCATGTCTATCATTTATTGTTGAAAAGGAAAAAATACTAAAAGAAGTAAAGCTTTTTATCAATCAAACTTCTAATCATAAACAATCAGATAATTTTTTGAAACAAACGGAATTGTCGCCAACGGTTCGAGTATTTGAAGGTATTTTGAGTAATCAACGCAGCAAAAGTACAATGAAGCTGAAAGGTACTTTTGCAAGGAGTACGCATGCACACTTGATACATGGAATTTTGTTTCACCATTTTTAACTGTCGCCATTTTATTATCTTAAAGAACGTAGATTGAATAATTTGAACGATATACCGGTACTCTTGATTTCATATTCCATTAAAATTGCGAGTGGGTTTTGTCCGTTTTCGAAGACCTTTTACATTATTCATACGTGGACACACTTTGTGTCATTTGACACGGTTTCTCGTGTCATTTTGCTCACTCGAACTGCGTGCCATTTCACTGGCGGGCGTGCAATTTTGCTCACTTAAACTGCGTACCATTAACTCCAAAACTTATTATTGCTCCCCTTGACATACTCCTTTGTTTTTACAGATTAGAAACAGCCGTGTCGTTCATTGTTGTTTAGCATGCCATTTTACCGTGCCCGTGCGTTCGCCTGTTCACATGTTTTCCTGTGGAGGGTCATATATTAAGTTGGTTGTCTATTACCTCACTCTCATTCTCCAAGTATATTTTAGGCCATTCCAACTATCTCAAAATTCCGATTTCGAGTTTAAAAAAGCTCAAGAGTTTACCTGAGAGCACATCCTGAAATAGGGTCTCGTAATTTTCCCCATGTTTTCTTGTATATGCATATTATTCCATTTACAAAGATAGAGGAAAGATACTTCGCGGACATCTGTTGATTGATTTTGTCTCGTTAGGCAAACCAAATTGGTACAAGCGAATGATTAAAAGAAGGCGACGAAGGCGAAGGAGACGACGTCGAAGACGTCGTAACCGACGTTATAGGCGGAGACGAACCCGTCGTAAACAGCGACGCAGAAGACGAAGACGAAGACGAATGAGACGAAAGAGACGACTGGGAGGTAAACAACATTTACATCGTTTTGAAAAAGAGTAGTGTCTCTAATTCATAGAAGAGAGAGGCCTTTTCCATTGCTAGTGAACGCTTTCATCACGCTCCAAAATACGATTTAACATGGTGACTGCTTATATTCCCCCACAAAATGCGTGGAACAGAGAATGGTTCAAAGAGAATGCTTTATGTTTTTCTGTTGAACTATTTTTACAGCGTGTGATTCTTTATCAATATTCTCTTTTAACCAGGGGAATAAATTCCAGTGATATTAGTGTCAAAACGAATAGAGCGATGCTGTCCAAAATTTTTCAAAACACTTCACGACTATTTTCATCCCCCCCAAAAAATCTTTGGTGGCCAACAGCCAAAAATATGTTTTTAAAGAGGCAATCATCCATTTTGCAGTATCTTTCGTCGGCTCCATGTATATAGTTAGAAAGTGTTACCTTTGCAAAATATTTATTGACCTTTGACGTTCATTTTCTCGTACTTCCCTCTCTCTGTTAATAGGCTGGAGGCGACGTAAAATTAATTTCAGGGGAAGGTTCCGTATTTTGCGTACATCTAGACCTCGATTAAGTATCAAAGTGAAAGGAATCCGGTACAGAATCCATCTAGGTAGAAAGTTGATGAAGATCAGGTACGGCGGAAAATATAGGGAAGTGATATCCAGAGGGAAATTACCGTACCTTAAGATTGGAAAGACTTTATACCGCATCTACATCCGCGGACGTTATTGGAATATAAGAAGAGGGAGAAGATTGCTCCGCTTACCAAGGGTTGCGAGGTACTATTTCATGAGAAAATGGCGACAGGCGAAATGTAGCGGGAAGAGACTATACATCAGGTACATGCGGCGCTGGTTCCGTGTCCTAAGACAAAAGGGGTATACCATCCGCTATCGTGGTAGAAAATTAAGGGTGAAGAGGACACGTAAAGGATACAAAGTACGCTTTGGAGGTCGCTATGGAAAGGCTCGAAGAGGTAAGATGGAGACGAAATTAAAAAATTATTTATCTATCCATCAGACGCCCCAAAAGTAACTAGGGGTCCATTGAAAAGCCTGACGGAAAATATGGAGAAACCTCAAGGAAACGTTGTGGCTTCTAACTTCTTGAATAAGAATTAAACTACCAAACGGTATGAAATAACAGAGGCGAGACGACCAAACGTTATGAAATAACAGGGGCGAGATGGATGAAACAACATTTAAAAATAGAAGTCTAAGAGGGGATTAGAGTGATGATGAGAAAATAAGAATTTCAGGTCGCAGTGTTTTCTGTGAGTTTGAATCACTGATGAGCGAAGTTTAAAGTCAATAGTGAGCTCAAGCCAGTCGTGCTGCTCAGGTGTTGTCCCTTTGTCATGGATACTTTTCAAAGTATTTTGGAATAGGCTCGTTGGATATTTAATTAGCTGTATAGGATATACTCTCCATCAGTACGATTATACCGTAACCAAAATCATTTGTAACTACAGCGAGGAAAAGAAGAACGAGGAGAAGAGGGCGCGGAAGACTTCGACGAAGAAGGGGAAGGCGAGTGAGGAGGAGGAGACGGTACGGACTAAGAAGGAGAGGACGGCGGGGAAGACGACGACGTGGAAGGAAGTACGGATTACGACGTCGACGACGAAGAAGACGTGGTAGAAGGTACAGACTAAGAAGAAGAGGAAGACGTCGACGTGGAAGAAAATATAGATTACGGCGTCGACGACGAAGAAGACGTGGTAGACGTTACAGGTTAAGGAGATATCGTGGACGAAGGCGTAAGTGTTAATTGTCAATTTTGAGGTTAACGATTGACCCAGTAGGAATTTTGAAACGGTGTTTATGGAATGGAAATGATAGCACTTTATCTAATTAGCATAGATCAACACGAAAGCAATGCAATTCATAGGTCATCCTTTGAAAATGTAATTGCGTTAATTCCTTCCTCTAAACTCTCGAAAATTGTGAGTAGATAATGAATATAAAATTGTAGTATTTGGTCAATCTATCATTAAAGGAAGCTGGATTTCCCCACGTTAAGGGTACCGATTTTCTTTCCAAAATATTAGGAGTGTCGTTAGTGATTCGCCTCTTTGAAATATTTCTATTATCACAAGGGTCTTTTTATCTAGACGTTCGTATGAAAAAGATCATATCTTTAAGATTTTGGCCTTTTCTAGCTACATGGAATATCGGCTGATTTTTTAGGAGCGACTGCGAAATTAAGCTTAAACTCGAAGGGCTCTTTCTTGTGAAATTTTTAGTTGTAAAGAGTAAAACTTGAAGTAGCCAGGCGGTCACCATTTTATTCTTTGCCAATACTTTGCTTCAGAAACCCATACTGACTTGAGAACTAAGACTTGCCGTATAGACACGTCTTACACATCTTCTCCTTCTCTAAATAAGGTCGCCCAAGACTCTACTTCAAAGGACGTTACCGACGTTTGAGAAAGGGAGGAAAAGTATGGTACGCGAAAATTGGTGGACATAGATTCAGACTTCGCAGAACCGGTCGTCGAGTGAAAATTTACTACAAGAAACGATGGCGTCTAAGTAATAAGCAACGCGGAAAGTGGTACATCTGGTATGGAAGAGGGTGGAAGCCTATCGTGAGGCGTCGAGGCCACTGGTTTATGAAAATCCGTCGGCGCCTACAACGGCTAAGAATGAAGGCGAATCTGTTAATGATCAAGGTCAGACGGATCTGGGCACGCATGATGATGCTGAAGAGGCGGCTGTACGTTAAGGTCGGTCGTAAATGGAATCGAGTGGTTAAACGTCGAATGTATCGTATACGCTATCACGGCCGCAACCTGCTGGTCAAGAGGAAAGGAAAAAGCGCTTCTGTTCGATATCACGGACGTTGGTGTCGCAGGAGAAGGATAGTGAAGAGACAACCTCGTCGCTTGTGTAAGTAAATTCATCTTTATCGTTTGCCTTTATCATATCAGACTTGAATAGTGACTACTACCGGACATGAAACGAGGACGTTGCAGTGTGCATGTATCACATAATGAAATAAGAACTTAGCTCTTTTTTAATCCCGCCGTAAAAAAGACCTAAGCTATGATTTTGATTTTAGGCTTACAAGCAAACCTAAAGACAAGCTTTAGAATCACCTTCAAAGTGTACTTACAGAAACCCTCTCCTTTCCGTTTGCCGACTTAATTCTAAATGTTGTGCGAACTAAATTTGTCTCATTAGTATTGTTGACTCTTTCAATGTCCTTTGTCGTTTCATAAATACGCGCTAAGTCAAACTTCGAACCTTTTTTGAGTGCGTGTCCTGATAAGAAGCAGAACCTTCTTCCGTTTTCAATCTATTTTTTTGCCACCTTAGGGGTGTAAAAAATGGTGGAAAATTACCCTCTAAATAGACGAATAGAAAAAGAACTTTCCAACGGGGAAAAGTGGCATATCCTACATCGGCAAGCTTTTTTGGAATAATTAGGCAATGCATTTCATTTTGACATAATTTAAAAACACAAAGTACAGCACTTTCTTTGTGAAGCTTTTTATCACAAACCTGGCGCTTCTACTGAGTTAGTGAGTGATCATAGGCACTCCACTTTTTTCAGCGAGGAGACAAAGAAGGCGACTGCGAAGAAGGAGGAGGAGGCGGGCTAGGAGACGACGACGTCGGAGGAGAAGGCGAAGAAGGCGAAGAAGAAGACGTAGACGGAAGCTTAGGAGATATGGACGGCGACGACCACGACGTATGTATTTTTGTTTAAGCTAGCGGAAAGCCAGTCGATTCCATACTACTATAAAGGTGTTGATGTGAAAATCATCAGCCGGGCATACCGGTTTTAGTGAGGACTATTTAAATTTGCCATTCGCCGAGTCAGTCCAATAAAATCGCTATTTTGTACATTGTCAGTTACTTTCGTTTACTTTGCCAGCGTTTGAGATCCCTTAAACTTGTCTGCTTTCCCTGATTACAAATTATTATGCGCCAATCTGTAAGTAAAAGGGCGGAAATGGTTCGCAAAAAGTTCGAATTTCCATCTCAAGAAACCCACAGTTCACTCCTCAATTCTATTCCTAAATGTACCGCGTGTAATAAAGCTTTTTACCATTGAAACAAGTTAAGTACAATTTTATTTCACGAAAAAACGCATCATATAGAAAGACCTAAAGACGCAACAGAAGATGACGACGAGGAAGCGTAAGTAGCTTGAGTCCAAAAAAGAGAAAAGTATCCTGAAAAAAACATTTTAACATTTCAGGTGAATTGGCAAATGTCACAAGTTTACTTACATTTTAAACTTTGCCCTCGGTGATGTACGAAAGTCAGGAATTATATTTTGCAAGAGAAAATTAAATGAACTGTCATGACTTCAACGAATTGACAGTATTATGATCGACCAAAGTTCCGTTGACTTGGTGGATCTTAAGCAGGCCTCTTGAGTACTGACATGTTTCTGTTGCTTCCGCGGCTGTATGACACTTTTAAAAATATTTAAGAATAGCTATTCACATTTTGATGCGTTTGGTTTTAGGTGGAAGACGCCGCAGAAGAGGACGACGAGGAAGGCGTAAGTATTCGGCGTCCAAAATCGAGCAAAAAATAAAAACGGAAAACCATTTTATGTGCATGACAATTTTTGGATGCGTGTAAACATGATAAATTGTGCTCCCTAGGCAATCTATTAGAAAAATAAAAAAAAAAGGTGATGAACTTTTATAACTTGGCTTAAGATGATCGGCTTAAATTCCATTGACTTCGTGGATCGTGAGCAGCCCCTTGCGCGATCATACGAATTTGAACGTCACCTTGAGGATCGCTTTGTCCCTTTCTACAGGTTATTTTCATCATTTATCAATGGGGTGCCTTTTTCTACTGCATTATTCCTTTTTTTCCTATGCCACAGTGTGCGTTTATATTTGAACGAGCATTTAACTGATCCAAATTACAATACTAGGAACGGCTAAAAGGTGCACGTGTTAAAATTTTGGATTGCTATCGACATAATGTTACTCGCAAGAGGGGTTGGAAATAGCATGGAATTAGTTTAGGTAATCTCGCGAGAATAGTCATAAAAACATAAATAAAATTCTTTGGAGGAGAGAAAAGTATTTACCACAAGGGCATCTAATTATCCGTCTCTAATTATCCGTAGAGTGACTTTATGGCTTTTACGTGAATAGCAATAATCAGTGTACTGAATGAATTGTAGTAAGCGGAGTCAGTGAATAATCTTGTCGTTTTATACAGGAAAGAGATACGTCCGCTACCGTGGAAGACGACGACGTGTAAAGATCAAAAGGAAATACTTCTTTGGACGGAAACGTATTCGTAGGTTCAGGAAGAAAATAAGGATTTACATCCGAAGAAAATACAGGAAAATAAAACGTTTCGGCAGGCGATGGCGAGTGCGAATTAGAAGGAAATGGTGCGGACTGCGAAGATTCGGTCGAAAGTGGTACTTAAGGAGAAAAAGGAAATGGAGAAAGATTAAAAGAGTAAAACTTAGATTGAAATATAGAAAGAAAAGAATTCGGATAAGACGGCGAAGGAAGAAGTGGTACGTACGACGAAGAAAGCGATGGAGGCGTGTAAGGCGTAGAGTTCGTTGCAGCATCCGCGTTCGAGGAAGGCGAGTGAGGGTGAGGCTGATTGGTAGAAGACGCGTAAGAATCACCAAGAATGGTAGAACAAGGAGGATTCGCTTCAGACGTAAGTAGGCTAGGAAAGTTAACGATGAATTACAACTTGCTCAATAAAACATGCTTATGTTGAACAAGAATGGCTCGCCGAAGAAAAGATGCAGCAAAAGGTTTCCTTTGAGTATTCACATTTTGCTGTGTTTGGTTTTAGGTCGAAGACGAGGTAGAAGAGGACGACGAGGAAGGCGTAAGTATTCGGCGTCCGAGTAATTCTGACTAGTTTGACAAGTAACTCTGTTGTACAAAGGAAGGCTGATTAAACTTTATGACTATAAAACGACAATTGTAGCTTCAAGATTATCGGCGCAAATATGGTGCAAATCCATTTTTTCGTCCAATGAAATTCCGTTGACTGCGTGGATTATTCACAGGCCTCTTTGCGCCATAGTATGAATTTTTGCAGGTCACTGTGAGGATTCTCTTTAGAAGTAAGATGGTTACGAAAGTTAATGATTGATAACAAGTTGATAATTAATTGTGTTTACATGTTAAATTTTGCTCGTGGTGATATACAAAAGTCGTGCCACTTTCCTCTAGGGTATTCTGTGATTTTACCCAGGTCGAGGATGCGTTTATCTGAAGGAGCATTAAACCGATCGAAAATACAAGACTAAAGACAACTTAAAAATGCAGCTGTAAAAATGTAGAATTTAAATCCACATAATATCACTCATTAGCTAAAAAAGAAAAAAAGAAAAAAAATAGAATTCAAGTTACTTGCGAGAAGAGCAAACATTTCAAAGTACTAGGGAGTATCTAATTAATTTTCTCGAAAAAATGGCGCTGGAAGCCAAAGGAACAATTTTTGGAGGAGAGGAATAAGGAAACATATTTGCCACAATTTTATCTTTTTTTTAAACAGGAAAGAGATACGTCCGCTTCCGTGGAAGACGACGACGTGTAAAGATCAAAAGGAAATACTTCTTTGGACGGAAACGTATTCGTAGGTTCAGGAAGAAAATAAGGATTTACATCCGAAGAAAATACAGGAAAATAAAACGTTTCGGCAGGCGATGGCGAGTGCAAATTAGAAGGAAATGGTGCGGACTGCGAAGATTCGGTCGAAAGTGGTACTTAAGGAGAAAAAGGAAATGGAGAAAGATTAAAAGAGTAAAACTTAGATTGAAATATAGAAAGAAAAGAATTCGGATAAGACGGCGAAGGAAGAAGTGGTACGTACGACGAAGAAAGCGATGGAGGCGTGTAAGGCGTAGAGTTCGTTGCAGCATCCGCGTTCGAGGAAGGCGAGTGAGGGTGAGGCTGATTGGTAGAAGACGCGTAAGAATCACCAAGAATGGTAGAACAAGGAGGATTCGCTTCAGACGTAAGTAGGCTAGGAAAGTTAACGATGAATTACAACTTGCTCGATAAATCATGTATGTGTTGAACAAGAACGGCCCACCAGATAAAAGATGCAGCAAAAGGTTTCCTTTGAGTACAATTCGAAAGACTTATTACCTAAATACTAAGGGTGTGGACTGAAACTTTTCGAGTTGAAATAAACCCATATTTTGGAAAAGTCATGAAAGAATTTAAGATTGAGAAATCATCAAATAGAAAATGTGTTAAAACGTTTACATTGAGTGAATACGACAGTCTTTTCCTCTTGGTTGGTTAGGCTTTAAGCTTTGGTGGTGTTTGCTTTTGATAAAGGTTGCTCTTAAAAGAGACTGTAAATATAACTCGTAAATACTATTTTTTTTTTTCGCGTATTATGATTTGGCTATAGATAAGCTAAACTTGACGAATTCTTGAAAACTGACATGTTCTGAGATTAAGTCGCCTCCTCGGCTGTATGGCATTTGTTAATTGTTTGTGAATAGCTGGTCACATTTTGGTATGTTTGGTTTTTAGGTCGAAGACGAGGTAGAAGAGGACGACGAGGAAGGCGTAAGTATTCGGCGTCGGAGTAATTCTGACTAATTTGACGAGTAACTCTGTTGTACAAAGGAAGGCTGATTGAACTTTATTATTATAAAACGACAATTGTAGCTTCAAGATTATCGGCGCAAATACGGTGCAATCGGTTTTTTCGTCCAGTGAAATTCCGTTGACTTCTTGGATTATTCTCAGGCCTCTTTGCGTCATAGTATGAATTTTTGCAGGTCACTGTGAGGATTCTCTTTAGAAGTAAGGTGGTTACAAAAGTTAACGATTGATAACAAGTTGATAATTAATTGTGTTTACATGTTAAATTCTGCTCGTGGTGATATACAAAAGTCGTGCCTCTTTCCTCTAGGGTATTCTGTGATTTTACCCAGGTCGAGGATGCGTTTATCTGAAGGAGCATTAAACCGATCGAAAATACAAGACTAAAGACAACTTAAAAATGCAGCTGTAAAAATGTTGAATTTAAATCCACATAATATCACTCATTAGCTAAAAAAAAAAGAAAAAAAAATAGAATTCAAGTTACTTTCGAGAAGAGCAAACATTTCAAAGTACTAGGGAGTATCTAGTTAATTTTTTCGAAAAAATGGTGCTGGAAGCCAAAGGAACAATTTTTGGAGGAGAGGAATAAGGAAACATATTTGACACAATTTTATTCTTTTTTTACACAGGCAAGAGATACGTCCGCTTCCGTGGAAGACGACGACGTGTAAAGATCAAAAGGAAATACTTCTTTGGACGGAAACGTATTCGTAGGTTCAGGCGGAGAATAAGGATTTTGGTCCGAAGAAAATACAGGAAAATAAAACGTTTCGGCAGGCGATGGCGAGTGCGAATTAGAAGGAAATGGTGCGGACTGCGAAGATTCGGTCGAAAGTGGTACTTAAGGAGAAAAAGGAAATGGAGAAAGATTAAAAGAGTAAAACTTAGATTGAAATATAGAAAGAAAAGAATTCGGATAAGACGGCGAAGGAAGAAGTGGTACGTACGACGAAGAAAGCGATGGAGGCGTGTAAGGCGTAGAGTTCGTTGCAGCATCCGCGTTCGAGGAAGGCGAGTGAGGGTGAGGCTGATTGGTAGAAGACGCGTAAGAATCACCAAGAATGGTAGAACAAGGAGGATTCGCTTCAGACGTAAGTAGGCTAGGAAAGTTAACGATGAATTACAACTTGCTCAATAAATCATGTATGTGTTGAACAAGAACGGCCCACCAGATAAAAGATGCAGCAAAAGGTTTCCTTTGAGTACAATTCGAAAGACTTATTACCTAAATACTAAGGGTGTGGACTGAAACTTTTCGAGTTGAAATAAACCCATATTTTGGAAAAGTCATGAAAGAATTTAAGATTGAAAAATCATCAAATAGGAAATGTGTTAAAACGTTTACATTGAGTGAATACGACAGTCTTTTCCTCTTGGTTGGTTAGGCTTTAAGCTTTGGTGGTGTTTGCTTTTGATATAGATTGCTCTTAAAAGAGACTGTAAATATAACTCGTAAATACCATTTTTTTTTCGCGTATTACGATTTGGCTATAGGTAAGCTAAACTTGACAAATTCTTGAAAACTGACATGTTCTGAGATTAAGTCGCCTCCTCGGCTGTATGGCATTTGTTAAATGTTTATGAATAGCTGGTCACATTTTGGTATGTTTGGTTTTAGGTCGAAGACGAGGTAGAAGAGGACGACGAGGAAGGCGTAAGTATTCGGCGTCCGAGTAATTCTGACTAATTTGACGAGTAACTCTGTTGTACAAAGGAAGGCTGATTAAACTTTATTATTATAAAACGACAATTGTAGCTTCAAGATTATCGGGGCAAATATGGTGCAAATCGGTTTTTTCGTCCAGTGAAATTCCGTTGACTTCGTGGATTATTCCCAGGCCTCTTTGCGTCATAGTATGAATTTTTGCAGGTCACTGTGAGGATTCGCTTTAGAAGTAAGGTGGTTACAAAAGTTAACGATTGATAACAAATTGATAATTAATTGAGTTTACATGTTAAATTTTGCTCGTGGTGATATACAAAAGTCGTGCCTCTTTCCTCTAGGGTATTCTGTGATTTTACCCAGGTCGAGGATGCGTTTATCTGAAGGAGCATTAAACCGATCGAAAATACAAGACTAAAGACAACTTTAAAATGCAGCTGTAAAAATGTAGAATTTAAATCCACATAATATCACTCATTAGCTAAAAAAGAAAAAAAGAAAAAAAATAGAATTCAAGTTACTTTCGAGAAGAGCAAACATTTCAAAGTACTAGGGGTATCCAGTTAATTTTCTCGAAAAAATGGTGCTGGAAGCCAAAGGAACAATTTTTGGAGGAGAGGAATAAGGAAACATATTTGCCACAATTTTATTTTTTTTTTACACAGGCAAGAGATACGTCCGCTTCCGTGGAAGACGACGACGTGTAAAGATCAAAAGGAAATACTTCTTTGGACGGAAACGTATTCGTAGGTTCAGGCGGAGAATAAGGATTTTGGTCCGAAGAAAATACAGGAAAATAAAACGTTTCGGCAGGCGATGGCGAGTGCGAATTAGAAGGAAATGGTGCGGACTGCGAAGATTCGGTCGAAAGTGGTACTTAAGGAGAAAAAGGAAATGGAGAAAGATTAAAAGAGTAAAACTTAGATTGAAATATAGAAAGAAAAGAATTCGGATAAGACGGCGAAGGAAGAAGTGGTACGTACGACGAAGAAAGCGATGGAGGCGTGTAAGGCGTAGAGTTCGTTGCAGCATCCGCGTTCGAGGAAGGCGAGTGAGGGTGAGGCTGATTGGTAGAAGACGCGTAAGAATCACCAAGAATGGTAGAACAAGGAGGATTCGCTTCAGACGTAAGTAGGCTAGGAAAGTTAACGATGAATTACAACTTGCTCAATAAATCATGTATGTGTTGAACAAGAACGGCCCACCAGATAAAAGATGCAGCAAAAGGTTTCCTTTGAGTACAATTCGAAAGACTTATTACCTAAATACTAAGGGTGTGGACTGAAACTTTTCGAGTTGAAATAAACCCATATTTTGGAAAAGTCATGAAAGAATTTAAGATTGAGAAATCATCAAATAGAAAATGTGTTAAAACGGTTACATTGAGTGAATACGACAGTCTTTTCCTCTTGGTTGGTTAGGCTTTAAGTTTTGGTGGTGTTTGCTTTTGATATAGATTGCTCTTAAAATAGACTGTAAATATAACTCGTAAATACTATTTTTTTTCGCGTATTATGATTTGGCTATAGATAAGCTAAACTTGACGAATTCTTGAAAACTGACATGTTCTGAGATTAAGTCGCCTCCTCGGCTGTATGGCATTTGTTAAATGTTTATGAATAGCTGGTCACATTTTGGTATGTTTGGTTTTAGGTCGAAGACGAGGTAGAAGAGGACGACGAGGAAGGCGTAAGTATTCGGCGTCCGAGTAATTCTGACTAATTTGACGAGTAACTCTGTTGTACAAAGGAGGCTGATTAAACTTTCTTATTATAAAACGACAATTGTAGCTTCAAGATTATCGGCGCAAATATGGTGCAAATCGGTTTTTTCGTCCAGTGAAATTCCGTTGACTTCGTGGATTATTCCCAGGCCTCTTTGCGCCATAGTATGAATTTTTGCAGGTCACTGTGAGGATTCGCTTTAGAAGTAAGATGGTTACGAAAGTTAATGACCAATGATAAATTGTTCAAAGAAGGAACGGCTCGACAAATTAGAAAGGCAGCAAAAAATTTCCATTGGTTACGTTATATGTTCATTTTTCCTTTTGATATGACTTTCTCCTAAAAGTGACTTTATAAATGGCATTTCGCCCTTTTTTTTGTTTTGTTTTGTTTTTTTTTTTGCCATTAAATTGCCGATGGCTAAGAAAGTTCATTAACATTGCTTATGTGTAACTTGTCAGTTGCCGACCATTTATTTTCATGCATTTGAGACACTTTAAACTCATCTGAATTAAAACTTATTACAATGGGTTATCGGTTCAATATGAAAAGTAACAAAGTTGTCAGTTGATGTAAATCCTTCTTACAAAACTGATGCACTGTCCACTTAACCCTTTCACATGAAAAGTAAAGTCATTGCCTTTCGGCGTGCCGCGTAATTTTGGGCAAGGAAAGCATTTGAAAATCAAGCAGAATATTCGTTCAGCTTTGAAAATCATTTTTTCTGGTGAGGAATCGTTTTCAGAATCCATCATTTCGCTCGTTCAATTGTTATTCTGTCCTCATCCTTTCTTTGAAATTCGTAAGGTTGTTAATAGATTATTGCTTTTGAGTTGAAGGTCTAAGGATTTTCACATACCAAGGGACGTTTGTATGTTCCTAGATAGTAGATGACACAGGGTCTCTGTTAGTTGGCGCACTTATTGAAAACTGAGCACTTTCTTTGCAAAAATGACATATTGGGAAAAATGTAAATGATAAAGAGGAAACTTCACTTTTCTAATGTTTCGTAAATATCAGTTTGAATTTTTTTTTCTTATAACCATATTTCCAAGCATCGAATTTTTATTTAGCACGACAGCCACCCAAAGTTGAAAGCAGAGCAAAAAATGCGACCATATCAGCCTGAGGGATGGTTCATGGGATTATAAGTCGGTTTCTTTGAAACCTCTGAATTAGTTATTGACCCACTTGGTTGTAAGAACAAGCGAAGTTTACCTCAGCATTTCGCGAAAATGAAATAAGGAAAACTAGAGCAGGGAAAACTTCATAATTTTTCTGTGTAGAAACCGCTGAAAATTATCATCAATTCTCATGCAGGAAGAGTTACAAGAAGAAGGAGAAGGCGTCAGCGACGTCAAAGGCGTCGACGGCGTCGAAGGCGTCGAAGGAGGCGACGAATGAGAAGAAGAAGACGACGAAGAAAAATATTAAGAAGATACAGACGGAGTATGTGAATATTTACTGTGTTCCGGATATTTAGTTCTAAGAGAGGGGCTCTGAAAGATATGTAGGCCCAACGGACATCCTCCTTGTTGGAGCTGTTTCTCTCTCTCTCTCCCTTTTTTTTTTTTAACAACTGCGGTGGCCTTTCTTCCTACTCTAAAAAACGTATTTCCCACTTCAAGTATATTATATTTATGTACTCCTTTCAATATATTTATGAATACACTAAGAATTCACGACGTGACCCGTTTTCAGTTGACTCGATAGCACAGTTGCATTGAGCGCTGAACTGGTTTCGAAGGGCACTAACGGCTGAGAGTTTTTAGCAGTATTTAATGCAAACATAGACAGTGTTAAAAGCTGGAATATGAAATTAGGGTAGGTGAAAACGGTCCGACATCTAGGGGGAGAGTTAACTCTCATTTCTTGAAAGGAAGTAGGGCTATCTAATTTATGGTAAACGCAAAATGTGAAATTTTCATCGTAAATAAGTCACAAATTCTGATTATGTGGGCACTTTGAGTTGGAACGGTAAAGGAGATGTTCTGATCTTAACGAATTTTTTCTGTGAAATTTCTAGAGTGGCGCGGTCGAAGAATTTTCTTCCATGGTAAACGCCGACGTGTGCGAGCAGGGAGGAGACGTTGGTATCTGCGCTTCAGAGGACGACGCTATCGCGTCCGACGGCGTGGAAAACGATCTCGAGTCTACTTCAAGAGAGGATGGAGAATAATAAAACGCAGACGCGGTGTTCAATTTTTGAAATACGGTCGATTTTGGTACCGTATTTTATTCATGAGAGGGTCTTACTACGTCAGATATGGCAAGAGGAAGATGCCTATCAGGAGGCTCCAATTACGGTTCATGCGAAAGTGGAGAACAATGAAACTTTACCGTCAGAGGAGATGGCTTTATCTCAATAGAAAGTGGATAAGACTTACTGGACGTCGCTTTTATTACATGAATTACAGGGGACGCAAACTTTCAGTGAGAAAAACAAGAGGAAGGTATCAAATAAGGTTCCGCAGGCGATGGTTGAGACCAAGAAGACCGAAATATGGGCGAGGACGACGTCGTGGTGGTAAGGAGATCATCTTCAATCAGAGATTCTCTATTGATAGAATCATAATTGGTTAAATGCATATATTCTTTCAATAAACACTTTGGCTCAAACAGAAAAATGTATTCCCATGCACATCGTGTTGAAGAGAGGTAACAGTCGGTAATGTAGATTAGTAAGAGAAGTGTGGGGCTCAGGAGACTTTTCCCTGATTTTTTTTTTCATATATACTGACTTATAGGACAGAAAAAAAATATTGACAGACAACTGAACTGAACAGATTACCGGTGGATTTGTTTATCATGAACCATTTCGTGAGGGGTTACGGAATACGGTCTGTAAAATTTATTCACTCTCGGAATACGCATCTTCGTAACTCCTTCCGACAAAAATAACCTTGGTTTTGTATTATTTCGCGAAAAAAAAAACACCGGACACGAACACCTAACTGAATCTTTTTTCATCCGAATTTCCTAACGTTTTGATAGACTTGAAATAGCGTTCCACATCTTGATGTGTTTGGTTTTAGGTCGAAGACGCGGCAGGAGAGTTCGACGAGGAAGAGGCAAGTATTGAGCGTCCGTAAAACGAGTAAAACACTCAAAACTATTTAATGTGTATCATGGCATTACTGCAGGAGTTAAGTTAGTCCTTTCGAGGTCATTTTCATAGTACTCACACTAACAATAGTGTTCCTTTTTCTACTGGGATCTGTTCCAATCTTTTGTATTTGGCGTCCAAAAAAAAAAACCGAAAAACTTATAGTTGATTAATGAGCTTTCATGTTCATTATTCTGTTTTAAAGTAATACCTATTGAAAACGAATCTAAAACAATGACATGGAAACAGTTTTTCATGATAGATGTTTTTCTTGTGGCTTATTATGACAATTTGGCTGTATACCAATCTACACGTGTAAAGGTCTTAAAAACTGACGCGTTTTAAGAATTAAATCGCTTCCCTGGCTGTACGACTTCATGTTAGTTTCGCACGAATAGCTGGTCACATTTTGGTGTATTTGGTTTCAGGGCGAAGACGCGGCAGAAGAGGACGAAGAGGAAGAGGAAGAGGAAGACGTAAGTATTTGGCGTCCGAAATAAAAGCAGAAAACTATAAACCATTGTAGGTGCATTAATTATCAAAACAATTTTGTTTTCGCGTTTAATTTTTTTGCGCGGTGATGTACAAAAACTGTGCCACTTTCTTCTAGGATATTCTGTGATGTCGAGTATTTGGGGTATCTCCTTTTCGCGAAAATCGTCTCAGAAGCTTAAAGGAACAATAGGTGGAGGAGAAGAATGAGGAAACATTTGCCATAAATTGTATTTTTTTTTACACAGGAAAGAGATACGTCCGCTTCCGTGGAAAACGACGTCGTGTAAGGATCAGAAGGAAATACTTCTTTGGACGGAAACGTATTCGTAGGTTCAGGCGGAGAATAAGGATTTTGGTCCGAAGAAAATACAGGAAAATAAAACGTTTCGGCAGGCGATGGCGAGTGCGAATTAGAAGGAGATGGTGCGGACTGCGAAGATTCGGTCGAAAGTGGTACTTAAGGAGAAAAAGGAAATGGAGAAAGATTACTAGAGTAAGTCTTAGATTGAAATATAGAAAGAAAAGAATTCGGATAAGACGGCGAAGGAAGAAGTGGTACGTACGACGAAGAAAGCGATGGAGGCGTGTAAGGCGTAGAGTTCGTTGCAGCATCCGCGTTCGAGGAAGGCGAGTGAGGGTGAGGCTGATTGGTAGAAGACGCGTAAGAATCACCAAGAATGGTAGAACGAGGAGGATTCGCTTCAGACGTGAGTTGGCTAACAAAAGTAATGATGAATCATGTCTTGTTCAATGGGGTATACATGTGTTTAACAAGAAAAAAAATCAGCAAATACATAAAAAGAAAGCCTCAGAACGTTTCCACTGAGTGCAATACGAAAGAGTAGTTACCAAATTGTTTGAGAGGTGGATTAAGGCCTTTTGAGTTGAAGTATACTTGTATTTTGGAAAATTCTTAAAAGAAACGTTAAGGTCAATCTATGGAGGCCAACATTACAGGATTGTCAAATAGGAGATGTGTCAAAAAATTTCATTGAGTAAAATGCAGAAGTCCTATCCTCTTTAAAAGTTGAATTATGAGTTTCCATGTTCATTATTCTGTTCTAAAGTAATACCTCTTAAAAACGAATGTAAAAGAATGACATGGAACCAGTTTTTTTTTTAAAGATGTTTCTTGATTTTCTTGTGGCTTATTAAAACGATTTGGCCGTATACCCATCTATACGTGTAAAGGTCTTGAAAACTGACGCGTTTTGAGAATTAAATCGCTTCCCTGGCTGTACGACTTCATGTTAGTTTCGCATGAATAGCTGGTCACATTTTGGTGTATTTGGTTTCAGGGCGAAGACGCGGCAGAAGAGGACGAAGAGGAAGACGTAAGTATTTGGCGTCCGAAATAAAAGCAGAAAACTATAAACCATTGTAGGTGCATTAATTATCAAAACAATTTTGTTTTCGCGTTTAATTTTGCGCGTGGTGATGTACAAAAACTGTGCCACTTTCTTCTAGGATATTCTTCTAGGACATGGAACCAGTTTTTTTTTTAAAGATGTTTCTTGATTTTCTTGTGGCTTATTAAAACGATTTGGCCGTATACCCATCTATACGTGTAAAGGTCTTGAAAACTGACGCGTTTTGATAAATAAATCGCTTCCCTGGCTGCACGACTTCATGTTAGTTTCGCATGAATAGCTGGTAACATTTAGATGTGTTTGGTTTCAGGGCGAAGACGTGGCAGAAGAGGACGGGGAGGAAGACGTAAGTATTTGGCGTCCGAAATAAAAGCAGAAAACTACAAATCATTGTAGGTGCTTTAACAATTAACACAATTGTGTTTTCATGTTAAATTTTGCTCACGGTGATTTACTAACGTTGTGCCATTTTCTTCAAGGTTATTCTGTGATTTTACTTAAGTCGAGTTTGCGTTTATCTGAAGGAGCATTAACCTGATCTAAAATACAAGACTAAAGACGACTAAGAGATGCAGTTGTAAAAATGTAGAATTGATATCGACATAATATCGCTCACCACTTGAAAAAAAATAGAATTCAAGTTACTTGCGAGAAGAGCAAACATTTCAAAGTATTTGGGGTATCTCCTTTTCGCGAAAATCGTCCCAGAAGCTTAAAGGAACAATTGGTGGAGGAGAAGAATGAGGAAACATTTGCCATAAATTGTATTTTTTTACACAGGAAAGAGATACGTCCGCTTCCGTGGAAAACGACGACGTGTAAAGATCAGAAGGAAATACTTCTTTGGACGGAAACGTATTCGTAGGTTCAGGCGGAGAATAAGGATTTTGGTCCGAAGAAAATACAGGAAAATAAAACGTTTCGGCAGGCGATGGCGAGTGCGAATTAGAAGGAGATGGTGCGGACTGCGAAGATTCGGTCGAAAGTGGTACTTAAGGAGAAAAAGGAAATGGAGAAAGATTACTAAAGTAAGACTTAGATTGAAATATAGAAAGAAAAGAATTCGGATAAGACGGCGAAGGAAGAAGTGGTACGTACGACGAAGAAAGCGATGGAGGCGTGTAAGGCGTAGAGTTCGTTGCAGCATCCGCGTTCGAGGAAGGCGAGTGAGGGTGAGGCTGATTGGTAGAAGACGCGTAAGAATCACCAAGAATGGTAGAACGAGGAGGATTCGCTTCAGACGTGAGTTGGCTAATAAAAGTAACGATGAACCATGTCTTGTTCAATGGGGTATACATGTGTTTACAAGGAAAAAAATCAGCAAATACATAAAAGGAAGCCTCAGAACGTTTCCACTGAGTGCAATACGAAAGAGTCATTACTAAATTGTTTAAGAGGTGAATTTAAACCTTCTGAGTTGAAGTAAACCTGTATTCTGGAAAATTCTTGAAAGAAAAACGGTAAGGTAAATATATGGAGGCCAACATTACAGGATTATCAAATTGGAGATGTGTTATAAAAATTTCATTGAGTAAAATACGGAAGTCCTATCCTTTTCAAAAGTTGAGTTATGAGTTTTCATGTTCATTATTCTGTTTTAAAGTAATACCTTATGAAAACGAATGTAAAAGAATGACATGGAACCAGTTTTGGCTTATTATGACAATTTGGCCGTATACCCATCTATACGTGTAAAGATCTTTAAAACTGACGCGTTTTGAGAATTAAATCGCATCCCTGGTTGCACGACTTCATGTTTATTTCACGCGAATAGCTGGTCACATTTCGGTGTGTTTGGTTTCAGGGCGAAGACGGGGCAGAAGAGGACGAAGAGGACGAAGAGGAAGACGTAAGTATTTGGCATGCGAAAAAAGTAGAAAACTTAAAACCATTGTAGGTGCATTTAATATTAACACAATTGTGTTTACTTGTTGAATTTAGCTCGTGGTGTTGTACAAAAGTCGTCCTAGTTTCGGGACTAAGCAACATATAGTAGTTTGCAGCCTTTCTTTACATCTAGGCAGATGCTGTAAAACTTTAGAGCGATAATTTATCAAATCGACACTCTTTCAAAATCCCCACGTTGTCAACGAGCACTTTTCATTCAGTTAATTTACTCTAGACTTGTTTTCTCACCTACATACCAACTTATAGCATAGCTCCATTTTCTGCATATGGACACACACACACAACCCACAATTCCTCCATTCGCTTTGACGAAAGGCTGGCGCTCGAAAAGTCAGCTTTGAAATCCTTGACGGTGGCCAATTCCCGTTATCAACTCAGCTGATAATACTGAATTACCTGTGACCTTAATGGCAGTTGTTTTTTTGCACAAATGTTGGTTTTATTCTCATACATATACAAAGTACATATGCGAAGTATAAACTATACTATAGAACGGGATAAATACGCACACTCTGTGATGTTTTCATTTTTAATATGCATAGTTGTTATGAGCAGTTTTAAAGCATGCTTGCATTTCTTTCTCGTATTTTCTTTCACGCTCCCGAAACGAGTTGAGCTTTAATACATTACGAATTTCAGTGCTTGTACCTTTTCCAAAAATGTTTGCAGCATTGAGGACAGGCGATGAATTTAAAATTTAACAAAAGGGTGTTCTTGAAATGAAGAATTTCAAGACTTTTCTTCGAGCAACACTACCAGTTTAAAGTTAAAAAATAATACTTTCCTTGAGCGGTTTTACGTTGTCGCCATGTTGTCATGGTAGTTTTTCTACGAGATCTTCCGAAACGAACATGCTCATTCATTCTACTTAATCAACCTCCCTTTTAATTGCATATTACGTCATACCCAGACCTGTCATAAAAAGAGAAAGGTGGCAATTTTTTTGTTGTTGTTTAGGCTCCAGGAGAATCCTTTTCAGGAAACGAAAGCGCAGGATAAGACGCGGTCCATATTTTATACGGTTTAGACGTGGGCGCCGTAAATACCGACTCAGCCGAGTAACATCAAGAGTGAAGCTGTACTTCCGAAGGCGATGGTATCGCCCCTTTCACCGCGGACGTCAGTGGTTTTTACGCCTTGGAAAGAAAAATTGCAGAGTTATCCGGCGAGGCAGGAGATGGATAGTACACTACAGGAGACGCTGGATTTCTATACAGAGATTTATGATACGCTTTCAGCGTAGGTACAGAATGGTAACACGGCGCAGGGGAAGATTTTACATCACCTTCAAACGACGTAAAGTGCGTTTTGGCTTCAGGCGTTCTCTATTCTTTGTTTTCCACGGAAAGCGCACCATCGTACGGCCAAAGAGACTTGGAGGGCGACTGTTTTACAAGTTCCGAATAAATGGAAGGTGGACTATGCGGAGGATGCGAAAAAGATTAAAGCGTAAGTTGCTATTTTTCACTTGATAAAACAACCGTTGTGAACTGAGCGACTTCCAGAGAGGCAGGGAAGGAGAGGAGGTGCGTGAGATTGAGTGAATTGGTGAGTAAGTGAGGTCGTTGACCAGCCAGATGATCGATCATCGTTTATCTTTTACTGAAAAATTTTCCATTTTGTTTTGTAGCGCGAGGACGAATCTACCGAGGAAGGAGAAGTGAGTAGTTTTTTTTATGCGAAAACAGAAAGGTATTTCCTGTGGCTCCTCACACGATAGCTGTCTAAGTTAAGTTCTTGAGTATTCTTCTTTCTTTTTCGCCTTTTATTAGGACTGAGGAAGCCCAAAGTATTGTTCAAAAAACGATACTTTAAGTTAAGACGAGGAAGACGTTCATATCGCGTGAGAATTGGAGGACGCATTCAAAAGATACGCAAAATCATAAAACGGCTAAGAATCAAGTTCATGCGGAAGTGGCGTCCTTTGCGATATCGTGGAGGCCGATGTTATGTTTTGGTTGGTCGACGATGGCGTATTGTCATTCGTAAAAGGCGACGTTGGTATATATCATACAAACGACACTTGAGGCCTCTCCGTCGTAATTTCGGAACATTTAAAATCTATCTTGCGAAACGTTTCAGGCCTTTGAAACGTATCGGGAAGAAATACTATGTGAAGATTGGTCGAAAAGTCCGGCTAATGAATCATCGTTATAAGCTGTTTTTTAACTACAAGGGAAGAAGAGTTACGGTGAGGAGGAAAGGTCGGCGTGCACGTGTCCTATGGCGGGGGAAGTGGAGAAGATCCAGAAGGATCCGCTATAGACGACCCAAAATACGAGGTGAGGAGAAAATATCGTCGTCCGTAGTACATAGCTCTTACAAACCTCGTTTTCTCAGTCCTTACTGTAAGATGTGGACCGAGTTTTTCCCGTTCGGAAATCCTTTTATAAGAGCGCAACCATGAAGTCCTCTCCAATTGAGTTGAAGAGATTTAAAAAATGACTTGAAGAGGTTGTTGACAAATCACTCAGCTAGTGAGCCATCAACAGTACTACGATGAACTCCACACTGAGAAACGACTCGTTTTGACCTTTTAACCCCCAAAAGTGATTAACATGTAGCTTTCCCCTAGAATATCCATACATTATCCAGCAAACAGGTAATGAGAATATTCAAACTTATCAGGTAAAAGTTTTCATCTTGGTCTGACACCAAATTCTCGCAACTACTCCACAAGGAAACGTGATCAGCTACAGTGGAGAATTAACAATCGGATCTTGGGAGTTAACGCCGTCAATATTTCCTCCTTGGTTTTATTACAGTTTTAATTATGAAGGTGTAAAATTGAATTTCAAAAGGTTTATTCTAGAAAACAACCATGCATCGTTAAGTTAAAAAGCGAATAATTTGTTGTCTTTTGTTGTCTCGGTATATAGAATCGTTTAAATATCTTAAAATACATCGACTGTCGTAAAAAAACCTACCTGAATTTCTTCCTTTTGACAATACGTCTTTATGGCGATTGCCTCTTTGCAGTTTCTGTCGGAAGTATTTTTAATGGAGCAATACTCGAAACCCACGACCGAAATAAAAAATGTTTTATATACAAAATATCCCTTATATAGGAACAGGAAAGAGTTATGTTACTTTTGGCGCTTACTTCTGGCGCTTATTATGTTACTTTTGGTATCTCAAGGGAGGGCCCTTATTCGAAACAGGGCGGTTATTATGGAACACGGTACTTTCGTTTGAAGAAACTCGGCACTCACGGCGACATAATAGTTGAGGGACTGAGACTAAGACCACTGTTTTTGTCGGGAGGCTTTAAGTGAGCAAGTAAAAGAAGATGAACCAAGGTTGATCTCAGTGTAAATGTACTCCAACAGTACTATTACTGTAACTGAATAGGGGCGTTTATAGGAATGAGGGTGTTTACTCAATAGGGGTGCTTAATAACAAAAAAAAAATTTGAGGGAGGCGCTTATTAGAGAGGGAGCGCTTACTGGAAGGAGGGCGCTAAATCGAATCATTATGGTATACTGAAAATGTCACTTGAATACAACTCATTTTAGAACCAGGAGAAGAGACGTTATGAAATATCTCATACCTTTGTATGACTGAGATTATTTCATCGAGCTCTCACCAAGAGTACATTTCTGTTATCTTTTAAATTTAACTCCCAATTTCTTGGATCTTGATACATATTCTGGTGCTGGTATGAAACTGTTGTGAAGTGTAATGTCCAGTGGTCCTTTGAAGTATCAGCCTCTGAGTTAAGTCTTTTTTAAAAGAATAAGTTCAGAAGCTGATACTAATGGGCTGATATTTCATTTTTTTACAATTAAACTTGTATTAAAGGTTACTCACCTGAATATTTTTTTAGGACGACGTCAGAGGGGGCGATTGAGAATTATTAGACGTTTAAGACGGCGAAGGCGACGGCAAAGGCGAAGGAGACGACGACGAAATCGACGAAGAATACGTAGAAGAAAACGAAGGTTACGAAGGCGAAGGAGGCAGCTCAGACGTTCTGCAGTTCTATTCAAATACGGAAGGCGCTTCAGGCCTGTGCGCAGGATTGGAGGAAAATGGAAATTCCTTTATGGACGTCGATGGCAGAAAATAAGGTAGGTTATGGGTCACATCTACTGCAAACAAAATAAAGTTTTGAAACACCAAACCAATGTTTGTTCAAAATTACTGAGAAGTCTGCTAAAGTTACGAAATACCATGTACCATCTGCAGACTAAGAAGCGCATTTGGAGTATATATTTTGAGGTTCTTGCTGTGAGGTTTACGGCTTGATTTTTAAAGTCAATTTGTTCTCCCAAAAAGTTCTTCAAGCCCTAATTTGTTTCTATTTGAACGATTCTTACACACTCTTATTCATTTTTCATTTTCGTCACATACAGCCTCTTAACGTGCTCAAAGACACAAGAAATTTCTCTCTTTTAAAGTTTTTGCGAAACGTAGTTTATCTGTTCAATCTAATGAAAGTAATGTGACTTGAAATGGTTTGGTTATTTTCAAACTATTATTCTTCACGGAATCTATTCTACCCAGCTTTTGGGGTTCTATCCTTTAAAATAGTATCAACCAAAAGCGCAATTTTTCCTGAACAATTGAGAAGTATATTTTTTTTGTAAGCCTACCATAAAAATACCACAGCCTCTTAGAAAAACCTTCAATTTTAGCTTAATGTGCTTATAACTCAAAAATAAAAAACTTGCCATATTTTTTCGAGGACAGACAGTTTAGTTTTTTTCTTGTTCAGGTTCCAAAAAAGGTCAGTGAGAGTGGGTGGGAGGAAAACTCCCCTACAGAGGCGGCTGATGATTTACTTTGTAAGAAGGTGGCGGTACGTGCTAGTAAGGCGCCGAGGGCTGTTCATAAGATACGCGAGAAAGTACAGAAAGATCATACTTGGACGAGTTATAAAACTGAGGTATAATAGGAAATGGATCAGCTTTAAAGGACGAAGACGATATAAGAAACTCAGAAAGAACAGGGCTAGGAAACGAAGACGCAGAAGACGAAGAGCTAGAAGAAGACGAAAACGGCGAAGGCGACGAAGGAGATACAGGCGAAGAAAACGAAGACGAACACGTAGGCGTAGGCGGAGAAGAAATAGAAGGCGCAGGAGACTTATTCTGTTCCGATATGGCAGACGTGTGAGGAAAGTGTTCCCAAGGAAGGGAAGACTTTTCTTCCGAATCGGAAAGGTTTACATGGGATTCAGGTAAGAAAGGAGGTTAATAGAAGAGCTAGATAGTACAATTTTTTCTTCTTTTCGTTGGAAGGCTTTTGAGCAAAATGAATTAGTGAGGTACGCTTCTAAAAAAACTGTGGTGCTGCGTTAGTGGGAGAGTATAACAAGGTAAATTGGCCACCGTTAAGAGTTTCAAAGCTGACATTTCGAGCGTTAGCCCTTCTTTAGAGCGAAACTCTGACGAAAGAGCCAACGCTCGAAACGTCAACTTTAAAACTCTAATGGTGGCCAAGTAACATTATCAAATCAGTTGACTTTACCACGTTACTTTGAACAAATGACTTTAAACAGAAGTATTTTTTAACGTGTTTATTTTGGTTTAAACCTAAACTTAGGTACCTCAGAGGTGTCGTGTATGTAAGGAAGCCGGGAGGCAGATGGCGTACAATTCGAAGGTTACGAAATAGAGTGAGGATCTGGACAGGACGTCATTGGACTCGCTTAACGGTTCGTCGCGGAAGACTGTGCATTCGTAAAGGAAGGAAGTACAGAAAGATCACAATATTGAGAGGAGGTCAAGTCAGAGTGCATTACAGAATAGGTTGGAGGAGGATTGGACGGCTACGAAGACAACGGCGAAAGCTCATCAAACGAAGAAAACGTCTCAGGCGACGACGAAGGAGAAGACGGAGGCGAAGGAGACGACAACGACGACGACAACGAAGACGTCGCAGAAGGCGACGAAGGCGACGAAGGAGGCGCAGAAAATTGAGAAAGAGGAGGCTAAGGTGCGTGATGCGCTATCAGCTTCGCCGCAGGTGGAGACAAGTCGTTCGGAAAGGCAGACGTTTCTACATCAAAATAGGACGAAGATGGCGGTCATGGAGGTACCATTCTTAATTATATACTGAAAGTTTTGCGTTGGATAACTTCTCTAACACTTTCAAAGTAGTTGGGTAGCTTAGAATGCAAGGTTTTAAATACTTACACCGCAGTTAACCAAACTGACATTGCTTATTCATAATAAGTGCTAGTCTCTGGCAAGGATAATGAACGGCAAATGTCATTTCTCTACCTTGAAAAAAGTAAAAGCTCGATTAAGACGGATAGTATTAGAAATAGTAATCGAATTATTCACCGGGTTGAATTAACTTAGTAAAATCACATCCGTGATTGAAACTCGTGCGACCTTTACGTGTGAGATTGACTTAATACTAAACAGGTATCATTTCCTTTTTCTTTATTTTCCATGCAATTTTATTGGTTCTTTCAAAAAAATTCGTAGTTTGATTGCTTGGTTGTTTTGTTTTTTTGCTCCACTCCGATGCCACTTTGAGATAAAAGAATTGTGATCAGTGACTAAATTTAATTTTTCAGTCAATGAGATTATAAGGATTATGTTATTAAGTGGACACTTTGTTTGTAATCAGACAAAGATAAAGCCAGGCCTACTACGAAACAATTGGCGTTGTTTTATCTTTCAGACCACGAGGGTCCCGTGTAAAAATAGGACAAAGGGGACGATATCAACCAATTAATAACCGGCTCAAGATAAGGGTCGGTTTAGTATGGAGGAGAATAAAGCTAAGACGCCGTAAATTGACGGTCACGTGGAGAAGAAGACTAAGACCTGTGTCGATAACGAAGAGGCGACTAAAGGTTTTTACCGGAAAAGGATGGAAAACATTAACGAGGCGTAGGAGATATCCAAGAAGAAGAATCCTTCGCAGGAAAAGGAGGCGACAACAACGGCGAAGAAGGCGAAGGAGGAGACGAAGACGAAGGCGACGACAGAGAAAGCTGCGGAGGCGGCGCCGGAGACAGCGAAGAAGAATAAGAAGAAAACGGAGGAGAAGGCGCACAAGGCGATCAGGATGTGTGTTGCGTATTCGTTATGGCGGTCGATTCAGACCAGTGTATAGTAGAAGAGGTCGGCTGATGATGCGTTTAAGGAGGCGATATGTGACAGTGAGGTATTTTGCAAATTTAGTGTTGCTCAGACACTTTTCATGGACTTTTATGTCATATAGACTGGAGCTAGAGTTTTGAATAGACAAAATAGATGACATATCATTCCAACGGGAGTTTTCCTGTACAAAATGAATTGTATTGTAGCAAAATTGGATCATGTCGATGATCATCTAAAAAGAAATTGTGGTGGTGCGTCACCATAAGTACCTAAGTTGATAAAGGGAGATGAACCGCCGTAACGATTTCTGACATTTAAATCGTTGCCCTTTCTTCGGAGCAATTTGGGAGATTGTAATAAAGCAGAGGATCGTTTTCGCGAACATCGGAGAGACCTCAAAGCTACGGCAACAATGTCTTTATGCCCGATCTAATCTTCCCGGTCATTTTTTAAAACCATAGTTGTCTGTGGGCTTTCTTTCCACAAAGGTAACACAGAACATTGCAAAAAAAAAAAAAACAAAACAACAACAAAACTGTTTCTTTACAAATCAGCACCTTGGCTACCTCTTCGAGTAAAGAACGACCCGCATTTAATCTATTTGTATATTCAGATATCATCTGTTATTCTGTCCACTTCAACAGTATGACCCCATTTTTCACCATATAAACACTTATACAAACTACAATCTTTAATTTCCTCCGATAAAGAGTTAATGCTCGAAACGCCACCTTTCTAAAATTCACTACAGCTTTTAACATTTAGTTCATTACTCGGATGACTCCGTATCACATTTTTTCAATGATTAGTAATACCCTTCTTATCTTTAAAATTATAGTTACAGGAACCGACGATTATATATCCGCCTCAAAAAGAGACGGGTTCTCGTGAGAAGCCGCCGAATACGAGTATATGTGGGGAGAAGATGGGTAAAGGTGCGGCGACTTGGTGCTAAACTTTATGGCAAAGGCAAACAACTCCGACTAACGAGAAGGGGAGTAAGAGTTTTCACGCGTAAAGGGTGGAGACGATTAAGGTACCGAGGAAGGACACGCATAGTAAGGTACACGAGGAAATACTTGAGGAGACTTCGAAGGCTCCGAAAGTTGCGACGAAGACAACTCAGAAAGGTACGAAGAAGGAAAAGAAGACGACAACGAAGACGTAAACGAAGGCGGCGTAGAAGACGTCGAAGACGACGTCGTAGAAGGCGGCGAAGACTTCGTAGACGAGGCGGTTATGGAAGACGAGGAAGAAAGAAGAGGCTGAGAAGGAGACTGAAGAGAAAAAGAAGACGATTCAGGAGAAGGGCAAGAAGACGACGACGGAGACAAAGACGACGTCGAAGAAGACGAAGACAGCTTTTGAGGCGAAAGCGCCGCTGTGCGCTGCGTTTCCGTTATAGAAAAATTTGGAGAAGCATTTTCAGATGGAAAAAACGCCTGGTTTTCCGATTTCATGGAAAACTCCACTATCTAAGGTAAGGAAATCCTTTGTTCCTTTTAGTCTTTCGATCATGGTGCTTTACGCAATTTACTTTGAATTGATTGTCGTCACTTTGTACACAACTGTCTTTTGGTGGCTGTTCGGGGTTAATGGAAGTAAAGGCTTCCTTGGTATAGCTGCTGTGAGGGTCAGAGGTTCCAAACCTCTTGTTCAGAACTGGGAGATGTAATCGCGGAAGCTTCACGGCTTTCCACTGTCTTACCCTTTGATATTGATTGGCAAGTGGTAAGTATATGGTAAGACACGGGTTTCATAGTCCCTTGTCACTTGAACAGCTCAGTATTGTACTGGTGCTTCAAGATGAAAAATCTACGGTTTGTTTTTTTCTTTTATACAAGAAAGTGAAAAAAGAGAAGATAATGGCGTAAAAAATCACGATAAACTTTTACGGATGCCTTTGATCTGTTCAATTCTTACCATGGTGAAATTGCATCTATTTAATCTAAGCTATTTTAAGTATATACAAATAGTTTCTTCAAGATGAAAAATGCTGTTTTCAAATATCTTATTTCGTTCCATAGATATCCGACTTTTTAAAATATGCCAATTAGTCAGAAACTCAACCAAGGTTTGGTTCAAATGTGAAGGAAAAACCATGTAACCCCATTTATATCTATGATCTTTGATTCTTTCAAATAAGGTCCGATGAGATGATTGGTTCGTAAAACAAATATTTTAATTTTTTGAAGAGAGTAACGTATCCTCAGACTCTCTAATTGTGTAAAAGGATGCCATATGCGTTTTAATTATGGCTTGTGAAATAAAATTATTCAAACTTCGATTTTTCTGAGACTTTCATGCGTTTTGATTTCTTGATTTTTCGAATCGTTTGGGAAATCTTCAATAATACCATTTGTTAAGGCAAGAAAAAAAATGAAAACAAATCGACAAAAACGAAGAATCCGAAATATGTCGCCAATAACCCCATTACTCTGTTCTGCGGTCCTCTGATGGCATAGTCTACACCGGAGCAGGCCACTAATACATTGGCATATCAAGTCACTTCAATAACTAATTATTTGCATTGTGTGTGTACCACGAGTTAAAAAAAAATGGTATTTTTCCTTCTCTCGTTTCAGGTACCATCGCGGAGTGCTCAGGCTCAGGTTGAAAAGAAGATGGATTCTAGTCCGTAATCTGGGATATCGCCTGCGGGTCTATATCAGAGGCGTTTGGAGACTGATTCGTAAGAAGGGTCGCTACTTGTTTGCTAAATATGGACGCAGATATCGAAGGGTAACACTCTACAGAGGATTGCCTAAAATCAAAATCGGGAAACGTTGGAGGCGCATCAGAAAAAGAGTGAGTAGGAGGACAAAAAGGAGGCGACGGATCAGGAGAAGAAGAAGAAGGCGACGAAGAAGGCAAAGAAAGCGAAAACGAAGATACAGGAGAAAGCTAAGACGGCGAAGAAGACGAAGACGTCGACGGCTTCGAAGATGCGTCATACGAGTCCGCCGTGGACGACACTGGCTTCCTATCATTAGGAAGAGAGGTGTTTTGAAGATACGAATCGACAGGGTTTTTAGGCGCATCAGGTAGTGTAACCAATGGTTCTCTGATTTGATTGTAATTTATATATTCGTACTTTCCGGATAGTGTCCGATCAAAGGGGACAGTTCCCTTTCAGTTGGTGTTGTTTCAACCAGTATGCATTACATGCATTCTTGAAAAGAACATAGTAATTAGTTGAGGTTTTTGCCTTCAAAGAACACAAGTCTTTAGGACAAAACAATTTTCGTGGATCTAATTTAGTTTGCTGATAAAGCATATCTACAGTTAGCCAGTGCCAGCCACCAGAAACGGCCACTTTTTAAACCAGTCTAACCAAGCTTATCACTCAATACGAGAAAATAAGATGAACAGACTCACTGGAATAATTAATTGCCTCAGTTATTTGAGTCTAATAGTCAAGAAATAGTTACACATTTTGATTGAAGATGAAAAAAAAAGGTGTCGTTGTGGGATGTTTGAATTGGAAATGCAATAAGCGTTACGTAGATTTTCAATATTTATTTTTCCTTTTAAAATATTACTATTAGATTCACGAGGGGTGTAACCTACATCAAGTTCGGAAGGCGTTGGATAAAGAGAAATTACCGAGTTAACATCCGAATGGGAAGAAAATGGGTACGCATGGTCCGGTTCGGTCGAAAATTTGGCATCCGTTTCAGAAATAGGATGAGGGTCTTGAACTTCTATCGCGGCCGACTAAGGCTCCGTATGAGAAGACGCTGGCGACTCATTAAAAGAAGACGAAGAGGAGGAAAACGAGCGAGAAGGAGAAGACGAAAAAGAAATCGAAGACGAAGGAGAAGAAGATCTAGAAGAAGACGACGCAGAAGGAGAGGGAGAAGAAGGAGACGAAGAAGACGAAAGATAAGAAGGCGAAAGAGGAGACGAAGACGAAGAAGGCAAATAAGAAGGCGACGCCGGTGTGTTCTGCGCTTCAGGTTCCGAGGACTTTGGAGGAGGCTTTATCCTAGAGAAAGATCGTTCGTTTTCCGTATGAAGAGAGAATATGGACGTGTTAGGTAAGGCGGTTAAACCTATTGCAGTTTCTATGACCTCCTGAAGTTTTCATGATTTATTTTGTTCGACAAAAGAGAACGCAGTTCATAATCTTGGGTTTCCTATGGTTTCTGGGGTGATTTCTTTTAAGATTTTTTCGTCGACCGTCTGCTTTCTCTGCGCCATTTCGAATGACGTCATAAGTCGTATGCGTGAAGAACATCGCGCACCTTGTGGTTTTTGTATTAGTCTGAGCAAGTCTGAGCATTATGAAGCGGCCAGAAACGTTTTCTATCTTAGCAACAAAGTAAAAAAACTATGTGATTCAGAATTTAACTTGTGGATTTTTATTCTGTGAACAATCTGATTATCATGATAATTTCACGAAACTTTCGACGTTTCCGGCAGTCCGTTGCATCCTCCACGACTTAGTAACCTTTCTTCGCAGGATCAGATTGCCGTTACTAATGTTGGTTTCCCTTAATGGTTAAGAACATAATAAATTTTTACCATTATACATTGTCTTTCATTCACTAATGAGCCATTAGATCTCCCCTATACTTGATAAATTTGACGCCTTTCTCTGTTTCTTTTCATATTCCAGGTTATATAGAACAAGGTTAATAGTTTACTACAGGCGAAGAAGACGTGTTCTTACAAGAACAAGAGTCCAAGTTCGAATCTCCAGAGTCTGGCGTACGTTACGAAAGTATCGCAAAGGCTTCGCCTTCCGTTACAGAAGAAGAATGAGGCCTTTAAGAATCATACGAGGATCGGTAGTATACCGATATGGGAGGCGTTGGCGGAAACTTAAAAGAAGATGGATGTCCTCCAGGCGAAGGAGAAAGAGGATTAAACGTAGAATTATCAGGAAGCGGCGACGACTTTTGAGACGTCTGCGAAGGCGAAAGAGGATACGATACCGACGTAGAAGGAAAGTGCTAAGGCGACGAAGAAAAAGGAGAAGACGAAGGAGACGAAGAAGACGCAGAAGGCGACGAATTCGACGGAGGAAGAGGAGAAGAAGAAGCCGACGAGTACGAAAAGGAGTCCGTCGTCGTTTCAGAAGGGTGAGAGGAAGAAGGAGAAAAACAAAAAGACTTCGAAGAAGGAGAAGGCGAACTAGAAGGAGACAAAGACGACGAAGGAGAAGGCGAAGGCAGCGAAGAAGGAGAAGGCTTAGGAGGAGACGAAGAAAGCGAAGGAGACGTCGCCGACGACGACGCCGCCGTTGTGTAATGCGTTTCAAGTACAGAAATAGAATGAGGAAGGTATATCGTATTGGGAACAGACTGGTAATTCGCAGAGGGAGAAAGCTCATAAGAATCAGGTGAGTATTTGCCATACGTAGTAATTTTAAAGTGATATATGTCCACTATCATTTGGAAAATGATCGCCGTTCGAGTTATCAGTACGATTTACGTGTCTCTTTTCGGACTGATCGAGTAAATCGTTAGCTGTTGTAGGAAACTGTTATGATTGTTGGTGTCAAAATTTTCAAGATTAGCTGGATGGTATTGTAATTCGGTCATTTTTTACAGCGTATCGTTAAGGTTCGGTAGCAAAGAGAAATCAATCGTGCAGAGCGAGCAAATTACGTGAGTCAAAAAAGTAAAATATGACAGCGAGTATGACTAGCCATCCTTCAGTTTGATAGAAACAGTTCGCAACTGAAGAATTTAAGGGCCACCTCGAAGATGAAAACTCTCAGAGAACTGAGTGGCTGCAAAACGAGGAACACAAAGATTAATCTGATAGAGAGATTATTCATGATTTAGGTGGCTCAGAACAATTTGGTTTTTTTTTTTTGTAACACTAAACTCTTTGATTGCCTAACGCTATTATTGTTTCCTTGAAAATGGTATCAAAAGTATCCCTAATAACTGCTTAGCAAGTTCATTTCTCTGCCAAGGTGACAACATCCCTAGTGTAGGTTCAGAACCACCTTGATTTTTCAACAATTAAACAGACTCTGAACCTATAAGGCAGGAACTTTTAATAGATAAAACTTGGCTTGTTGATTGCTATTTTGCCAGAAAAAAAGGAATGGTGTCTCGGGATTGGTTTTAAAAGTTACGGCTAAAAAAAGCTGAATCAAAGGGTGTTTTTCAAGAGGATGTGTTGTCTTGGTAACTTCTTGTGCTGGGGGGAGGGACTCCCTAAATTGACGGTGTTGATCGGGTATTATTATGATATTATAATAGGCAAAAAGATAGCGATTTGATTGAGACATTAAACAACCACGGACACCTTTTGAGCCTTCGTAACTGCTTCCTTTACTTTTGCGTCAGTTTTTCCCACCCCTAGAGTTCCGGCTTTGTTCCTTACATATCATTTTTTGCCACAGTTACCACAGGGGAAGACTTACTATTTATGGAAAAAGACGACTAACTCTGCGGCGTCCCACTGCAATAGTGCGAGTGAATGGCAGATGGCGTAGATTAGTTACATATCGTGGTAGGTGGATGATTACCTACAAACGAAGACGGCGTATATTTAAGACACGACATGCACGGTTCTTTATCAAGTTCAATAGAACCTACAGGAAAATTAGCACTTACAGTCTACGACACAGGCGCAGAAGATTGAGGCGAATACTGAGAAGAAGAAGACGAAGGGTCCGGAGACGAAGAAGGAGAAAAAGGCGCCGGCGAAGAAGGAGAAGGAGGAGGCGCCAGAAACGAAGACGTAGAGGATTACGACGAAGACGTCGAAGACGAAGACGGGGTTGTGTGATGCGTATTCGATACGGGCGTCGCTGGAGGCCAGTGTATCGAAAACGTGGTCGCCTAGTAGTAAGAATAGGAAACAGAGTACGATATGTTCGGTGAGTAATTATCTGAAGAAAGAAATCGACTTGTAGATCATGTACCTGGTATGTTCACCTCAGCTTTCAAACCATGTGAGCTATGTGTACTTTTTAGTTAAGATCGTAACTCGGTAAAATTTGATACGATCCCTCTGTCTTTTCCTTCTTTTGAGGCCATCTATTTTATCTCTCATTTTAAACAGTTTTCTTCAAGCCCATCTTTGCTACTTTAACTCATTTAGATCAGTACAAAATGTTCAGTGAACGAAAAAACAAACTTTATTTTTTCTTGAGGTCACAAAGAGACGATTTTAATGCCAGAGTGTCGAGTATCCTTAAGGAAATGCTCTTCCGTTTCGATTAACAGATACGTGGGCAAAAGGTTGATGTTTAAGCGAAAGCGGAAATGGAAAACAGTACGAAATGCCCAAGTCTGGTTTAGAAGATGGCGCCGCGTACGTTTCTTTAAAAAACGCCCATACCTGCGCTACAAGCGTAAGTACCGTAAGTTGCTTATCCGTGGAGGAAGGATCAGGTGGCGATCCATAAAGGGATGGAAAACAATCAGACCCAGATTGAGAGGCCGACGAGGAAAGTTTAATAGGCGAAGAACAAGACGCATGATTAGAAGGCGCAGGCGTAGACGCAGACGGCTTATCCGGCGCAGAAGACGAAGAATACGGCGACGACGAAGACGGCGTCTCAGATGTGTCATTCGAATTAAATGGCGACGAAGATGGAGACCAGTGTATCGGCGAGGAAAATTATTGAGTTTTGTCTATAAACGACGACCAGTAATAGTCAGGTAACCATATGATTTTTGAGAGTGAGATATGTGGTCTGCTCCATAGTCATTATTAATGCGTACTTGAAAACTTCACAACAGAATTTGCCTCTGGGTTGTGTATTGAATTTGTTGAAAAAAATTCAACATCATCATCATCTTGCAAAGAATAGCGGGTGATGAGGAGGAGAGATAGCTTCATGATAATTCCAAGTTTCTCAAAAGACAAATATTGTCTATTTGACAATTGAGTGAAATGTATTGTATATTTCGGTTCTCATTTCACCGACACGCTTTTTGTTAAGGGGAACCGAAAACCATGGTTGTAAGTCACAGATCAACCAATCCATGGTGATGGAGTAGAGTTCGTACTCGCTGTACTCAATAAGTTGATAGGGTGAGCGAGATTCTGTTAAACAGTTAATAATGGGTGATTTCTTGAGAGCTGAATGATTTAAAAGAGAGTTTGGAAACGTTTGTTTCTACCATTACAAGAAACTTTTCATGTGCACAGCTTTTTAAAGTATCTAGAAGCGTTTAAGTTCAGTTTCATATAAAACTCAAAATTGAAATTTTTGTCATTCCGATTGTCAGATTTTACAGGAGACAGTTCCAATATAAATTTGGACGGCGATGGCGTACTTTTAGAAACCCGGTGAGAATTGTTCGAGTTTTTTACAAAACATGGCGTAGAGTAGTATTACGAGGAGGAAGAGTCTACCTTCGGGTGGGTCGAAGAATGAAAAGGTTGAAACTCCGCAGATGGGGAGTGACAATACGGCGGTTCCGTCGATGGGTACCCTTACAAAGATATAGAAGAGGAAGGAGAGCAAGGCGGATGCGTAGGAGACGAAGAAGGAGAAGAAGAAGGAGTAGAAGACGAAGAAGAAGGAGGCGAAGACGAAGAAGGCAGAGGCGACGAAGGAGACAAAGGAAACGACAACGCCGAAGGAGACGAGTCAGGAGGAATGTTCCACAGATCATTGTCCGTTACCGCGGTAAATCCATGGTTGTATACCGAAGACGAAACAGATTTGTATTACGATACAAGCGAAGAATAAGATCAGTTAGGTATGACATCAAGATTTCAGTTTCCGTTTCTTAAAACGAGTTTCAGGAAAATTAAGTACTCTCCATTAATTAAGAGCAAGACTAAAATTGAGTAAACTGAGACATTCTTGGGATGTTATCGACTTAACTCTGATAATGAATATGTTCCGCTTTATTTAATTCAAAGAAAGTCTTATATTGATCTCAAGTCAGCTTCTGCATTAAAAGCAGAGGCAAGATTCCTTCAATTTGTAGTCTATATTTTAAGATAATTCTGCTTGATCAATTGGTTGTGGCCCTTGTAAATAAACAGTTGTTTTCATGTGTAAATGCACTGATTATTTGATATCTCCTTTGTGGTATGACCCCTTATGTTCTGATTTTTGTGCAGATTCCATCCTAAGGGCGTGTACTTCTATTTTGGAAGAAAATGGAGAAGGCTTTATGGAAAGATTATGATCAGGTTACTTGGAGGGTACAGGAATGTACGATTTTACAGAAAAAAATACTGGGTTGTCATCCACCGACGGCAGACAAGAATAGCCTTCAGAAGTGGGAAGGTGCGTTTACGTGTCCGAAACCGCTGGAGAACAGTCGGAAGGCGTAGACGATATGGAAAACGACGAGGAGTAAGAAAATGGAGAAGAAGAAGAAGAAGATTAATCAGGCGTCGAAAGCGAAGACGAAGAAGGAGAGCACGAAGGAGGCGTAGAAGACGACGACGATACCGTCAGAAGTTGAAAAAGCTACGACGAAAGAAACGGGGCAGCCGATTGCGCTTCTTTTGGCGGCGTAGGTGGCGTACAGTAATCCGATCTCGCGGAAAGTATACGTTCACGTACGGTGGAAGGCAAAGACCATTAAGGTATAATAATATAACAATAATACTTATATAGCGCCGATATCAAGGTATCTTCAAACATACTATCCAATGCAACTACGGAGCCAATAAGCATGCAAAAACTCATATTGTAACGAAGAACAACAAGCAGATGAATCGATCACTTTATACTGTGAATGAACATGTGAATGTTCAACGGGTGACAATGTTATTTAACGAGCCCAGTAGTTTCATATGTTCGTGTATCTGATCATAGCCGTTCCCTCTTGATGTTTCTATCTTACTTATTCTTTCTGACACTTTTCTTGCTTGACTAGATTCCGTCGAGGTTTTATTTACTTGAGAGGGAAACGGAAGACTTGGCATAAGGTACTGAGAACCTCCAAACGCCTAAAAGTTCTGGTAAGACGATGGCGCTATGTGCGAAGATACCGAAGACGCTGGAGTATTACTTACCGAAAGAGGAAAGTAAGAATTCGACTCCGACGTGGAAGAGTTTGCCTAAGGTTGGGAAGAAGGTGGCGTAAACTTAGAAAACGTCGAGTCCGTAGAAGAAGCCGGGGCAGGCGAGGTAGACGACGCAGAGGAAAATGGAGGAAGAAAAAGTTGAGGAGAAGGAGGAGATACAGACGCAAAAGGCGACGACAACGGCGGCGAAGACGAAGAAGGAGAAGAAGACGAAGGAGAAGGAAAGTACGGCGTAGACGAAGACGAAGAAGACAAATGCGTCGCAGTAGGATACGAGTTTATTTCAACGGAAGATGGAATTATGTAATCAGAAGAAGAAGAGGATATATCGTCAGATATAAAAGAACAATATACCGAGCCAGGTGACAATATTTTGATTAATTTATCAATTTAGGTTTTTTTTCCGTCAAATGTGATTTGGGGTGGTAAACAGCCTTCTTCCTTCTCATGGTTGAACACCCTTGTACTTTGTGTGTTAGAAAAGGTTCAGGAAAGGTTCACCATAGAAATGTTACTTTACTTTAATTTTTTTAATGATTTCATATTGATTATTGACATAATTTGGGTAATATTTTTTTGATTTCTTTGTTAAATTAGCTACGCTCATGTAACTTTTGTACAATTGCTATTTTCGCCGGCACCTTTAAGCTTTGTCACTTTTCGAAGGAATTGTGACTGAGATGGATGCTACGAAGACGTGGTAGAGATGAAATATAAACACAATAATTAGACGTAGGGAAATTAAAGGAAGTGGTACCAGAAAATATTGTCATCAACTTTGTCCAATCCCTTATCTTTCTTTTTCATTTCGATTTTTTACTCCAGGTTCCACCGCCACTCAATTAGACTTAGCCGCAGAGGGAAGAGATCAATTAATTTGCCGCGCACGCGCATTCAAGTCAAGATAAGGTACTGGCGAAAACTCCTTCCGAGGTTCAAGATTCTTTACAAGAGGAAAACCCGACATCTCAGATTCTACAAAAATGGATTAAGGATAGGGCGGCGATGGTTTTCTTATCGACGTCCTCGATTGACTAGGCGAAGATCAAGGCGTCGACGTGTCAAAAGGAGAAGGCGAAGAAGGTTTAGGAGGCAGAAACGTAGGAGAAGACTCAGAAGAAGACGAAGGAGGAGAAGAAGGCGGAGAAGACGAAGACGACGAATGAGGAGAAGGCGGAAGCAGAGACGATATGGAACCAGAAGACGGGGTCGACGCCTTAGACGAAGACGTGGTTGTGTACTGAAGATAAGATTGTACAGAAGATGGAGAAAGGTGTACCAACGTAATGGACGCCTAATTTTCCGTTTCATGGGGAGGATTAAAACAATCAGGTGCATACACTGTTCTCAGGATCATTTAGGAGCTTGAAAAGAGAGAAAAACGTTCTTGTTTCGATCACTTTGAAATTTGTGCTAATATTTTTTTTCGGGGAAGGAGGTCGTCTAAATGTAGTCAAATGTGACTTCCGACATTTCCTTGCATTCAAATATTGGTCTCAGTGTGTGTGCGTCCAAAAGAACACCATTGCAATAATATCCTTTTTTCTTTGAAATTTCCTAGGTACTTGAGAGGTCGACTTATCTTTAGACGGAAAAGAAGACCGACAGCACTACCCCTTAGTAGGCTTAGAGTTTATGCGTTAGGAAGATGGAGACGTGTGACCAATAGAAGACGAGGATTAGCTGTGCGCTACCATAGAACCTACAGAAAAATAGATCTAACACGAACACCAGTAGCAATCTGGAGCAAGAATAGGCGGATACCGCTAAGAAGAAGACCAAGGAACCGATGGAGGGGACGCAGAGTTCGAAAGTATCGACGTCGAAGGGGATCACATCGTCGACGCCTCAGGAGAAAGAGAAAATTGAGAAGGATCAGGAGAAGAAGGAAACGACTTCGTAGACGAAGGAGGTACCGACGAAGACGAAGGAGAAGAAGGAGGACGAGGAGAAAGAGGCGTAGACGACGAAGGCGTAGAAGACAAAAACGAAGGAGAAGACGCAGAGCTAGAAGAAGAAGACGCCGTCGACAAAGGCGACAGCGTTACAGCGTTTTAAGACTGAAATATTATCGCAAGTGGAGAAGCGTTTATCGCCGGGGAGGAAAATTATACTTCCAATTCAGAGGAAAGTCAAGAAGAATCAGGTAAAACTATTGTTCCTCTTATCGTCATCTGTTTCTCACACATGCGTGCTTTGATTGAAACATTTCAGCAATAAAAAAAGAAGAAAAAAGAAAAAAACCCGCATCTGCTTGGCGAGTTGAGAAAGGGGGACGGAAAGGGAAATTTCTTCCCTTTTTCATCGATTTAACCATGTGCACCTGTTCAAAAATGCTGAATTTTCTTCTTTAATTTATTTACTTTTTTGTTGCTATACTAGCTAGCTTTCGTCAACTTCTGGATGGGGGCTGTGAAATCACGCAAATTAACTTAAATACCACTATTTTCGAAGGATCAATATCCCCCCAGGCTCAGAACTTAGAACTCAATAGCTAACTTTTGTTTGTACAGCGCTGATTGAATCTCCTATTCCTTTTCATTTGTCATTAAGATGTGGCAGAGGCAGAATATTTGTACGTCGTCGTGGGAGGTGGATATCCACTAGGAGGCGACTCAGAATCAAGATAAATCGTAAATGGAGAAAAGTGGTAAGGTACAATCGAGCTTTCCGTGTTCGATATGGAAGGCGAAGATGCCGAGTGAAGATCCGAAGAGGAAGGGTTAGAGTCAGATTCCGACGAAAATGGAGGAGAATTATACGGCGAAAGCGAGGATATAAAAGAAGGCGACGAAGAAGAGTGAGAAGAAGAGTACGAAGGCGACGCCGAAGAACTAGGAGGCGACGAAGGAGAATTAAAAGACGAAGACGAAGACGACACAGAAGGAGGAGACAACGTAAAAGAAGGCTAAGAAGAAAATACAGAAGAAGAAGAATGCGAAATATCAGAAGACGACTACGAGGAAAAAGGCTGTGGAGAGGAAGAAGACGTAGACCGAGATCTCGTCGCTTCAAGATGCGATTTTTATATAAACGTCGCTGGAGAGGAGCGTTCAGACGCAGAGGATACTTGTGCGTCCGCACCAGGAGAGGAGTGAGAAAGATAAGGTACAGTTTTACAATTTGACTCCCAAATGGGGATCTGTTTTTAAAAAGATTGATCGACTGTGACATGACTATGACTAAATTTTGGCAAACAGACGCCCAATTCTTTAACTTGTCAAGATAATATTATTCTATGGCAAATTTTATAAAATCTGCTCGAAAATACCATCCTCGTGCTCTGATGTGATCAGTTATCTCAAAATCAGTTAGCTCAATAATGTGAACCAACGATTTTAAAGTATTTAGCTTTGACGCCTGTTACAAAAAATTTATTTCATTCACTTATTTACTTTTGTCATTTACTCTTTAAAGAAACTTAGCATGATGTACGAAATCCCTTTCGGGCAATTCCCATATTATTGCGACTTATATGCTAGTGATTTATAGAGATATAAAAAAAAAACTCGCAGCAGACCCTGAGAAATTTTATCTTAATAACTGTACCAAGGCATACATTTTTCCAAATATGAGCCTCCTTACATCATTTGGATTTGTAGCCGCAAAGAGTAATGAAAACAATATGTTGCGAGAGAGCAGGTTGTCTGTCTGTGTTTTATGTGGTTTGGTTTCGTAATGACCCTGGTCAACACGTTTACTGACCAAAAACTAGAAGATTAAGGCCTTAAAGGCAGCAAACTCTTGTTTGACCGAAGGGGTACAAGATCATAATGTTGAAACAAGTAAAACAAAACAATCATGTCTATTTGAGTGAGATTGCCAACCCGGCTAAGTTTTTGGGCCGATGTTTTGCTGATACAATTGGGGAGATTTCAACCATTCTTCCCGGGTCAACACGGGTCTTGACAAGTGTTACCCTGCAAAGTGGTCAAGGAAAGATGACCCTGCAAGAGGTCAAGGAAAGGTGACCTACAGCTTGACCTCTCATCCATTATAACGCTAACAAACATTTGACTGTAAAAAGTTTACCCTTCGCGATTACGCAGTAAGTAACCTGGATCGCGATAAGAGGCCTTGAGTGCTGAGGGATGCGTTGCTTTGTTTTCACGAATATCTAGCTTTACGTGTTTTTTCAGAAATATTAAAGGAACTTTGAAAGACACCAATAAAATTACTCCTGTTAACTTTCTATACTCCCACGCACAGATATCGTGGCGGCCGCTGGAGGATGTGGCGCAACAGACGATGGTTTACTCTATCTGGGAAAAGCCGTCTTAAAATACGTTATCACAGGATGTGGAGACGGATTGTTTACAAACGCCGCAAGCTGGTCGTGCTCGTTGGAAGAAGATACAGAAAAGTACGGATCCGCCGCGGACGATTGATCATTAGGTCTACACGTAGAATAACAAGGCGAAGAAAAGGATATACAAGGAGGGGAAAATGGTCAAGGTTAGGCCGCAAGGGATTCGCAAAACGCGCAAGATCTTTGCGACGTCTGAGACGTCTTAGAAGATTGAGGAAGAGGAGAAGGAGACGGCAAAGGCTAAGGCGAAGAGTGCGCAGACGAAAGATCAGACGAAGAAAGAGAAGGTACAGGAGAAGGAGGAGACGAGCCAGGAGAAGAAAAAGGCGTAGAAGAAGAAGAAGGCGACGCAGACGGAGGATCCGAAGACGAATTAGACGCAGCGTAATGCGAATCTATTACGCTAGGAGATGGAGGATGATTTATAGAAGGGGAACCAGACTGATCTTTAGAATCGGACGAAGACAATGTTTCGTCAGGTAAACTGAAACTAATGATGAAGAGCTAAACCCTTCCACTCCTAAGAGTGACCAGGAAAGAATTTCTCCTGACAATATTAATGCAGTATCGAGCAAGGAAGTGACGAGAACAAAGAACATTCCAATTAGGAGAATATAAGTTTATCCAATACCGAATTCTCCGAACTAACATCAAAAGAATTGTTTGGCAAACAGTGAGAAGAAATCTTTAGAGTGAAAGGGTCAAAACGGGTGCTATTAATTTGGGAAGGATGAAAACATGTGCTTCAGAAAGTTTTAATCACCTCTTCTCATTCTCAAATACATTTTGCTTCTACATCTCAATTTAGTAGGACATAGAATTTTCCATCAAGAATCGTATTCAATTTAGACTTAATCGTTTCTAATACGATATAGAGACACTCCGCTCTAAAAACTGACCGACGTCTTCACCTTAAATCCTTGCTTCTTTTGCCATTGGTTTTTCACCATCAGTGCGACTCATTAGATTTCACCAAAACCAAATATGAATTGTTTGTAGCAAAATATATTGCTCAGCGGCTATGGATACAAAACTGCCTTGATAGTACAAAATGTTTAAAAAACTATTTTATTATCTAAATTATTCTGTTTTTATGATTGAGATTTGACTTTCAATTACCTTCCTAAACTAGTCTTTTATTGTTTATTTTAAGATATGGATTTAGAAAGGTGAGCATATTCCGCAGTGGACGATGGATTCGACTAAGGAGACCAAACAGACGCATAAGAGTGTTTTACGGGAATCGCTGGCGAACAGTAAAGATAAATAGACAAGGGTTACTCCTAAGATACGGCAGAAAAGGATATCTCATGCGCTTTACAAGGGGATTAATTTCTATATATCGGCGAGGACACTGGAAGCGTATCAGAATCCGCCGCCGAAAGGTTTCACGGCGCAGGAGAAGGCTAAGAAGAAGGAGAAGAAGACGACGACGAGTGAGAAGAAGACGAAGGCGAATCCGACGAACCCGGCGACGAAAGAGGCGACAACGTCGAAGGCGAAGAGTGCGAAGAAGACGAACTAGAAGACGAAGACGATTGAGAAGGATTACTAAACGACTAAGGAGGGGTAAGACGAGACGTCGAAAAACTCGTAGAAGCCGAAAACTGTACAGTGTCCTTCGGATCTATATCAAGGGATGGAGAAAAGCATATCGAATTGGAGGTCGCCTGAGAGTCCGATACCATAGAAGAACAAAATTAATAAGGTAACCTCCATTTTTGTACTGGCACTGCAAATGTCACCGGCATTTTACTTTCCTAATTAAGTTGGCTTGCCTTCAAACGTTTTTTTTTTCTTTTAAATTATCTTATGGACAAAAGCTAATTAAATCGTACTCGGTAACCGCAGTAATGTACAGTCTTTAAGCAAAGTACGGAACACCCGGCCATACGTGAATATTCACTATCGACAGCCAGCGCAATGTCAATTTTTTCTGGACATAGAACTTTGTATGCGTAGTAACACTGAAGTAGAGAAGGGAAGCGAGAGGTAACAAAGTGAAGGCGGTGGTTCACTTATAAGAAGATTGAAGAGCCGCATTTATTCAAGTGCCGATGATTGAAGATTAGTGCGCAAAAGGCTTTTTCTTATTCTTCTAAGCTACTACTACGCACATTACAGACTGCTAAAATTTGACAGTGTTTTGGTTGCGAAAAGAATTCCTTATTCATTCCTAATTTAGGAAACACTTAGTCTTAAACTTATATTTCGGACTTCGAGCTTTGCTTGTAAGAGGTAGTGGTATCTGAGAGTTAAAATGCTATTTAAGGCGAGTTTTCAATGCAACAAAACATAACAAAATATAAATCGAGGGAAAGCACGTTTTGAGCAATTATGAAAATATGGTTTCTGCTCATGTCCTTTTAGTCTGTCTAATTCTCGATGAAAAAGAAAACTGGATTTGGATGAGATTATGAGTAGTGAAAAACACAGAACTATTCAAAGTTAACTGAAGGGAGCAATTGCAGTCCGCTTTGCATGCTCCGCAATCTCCCAATAGGAGAAGTGTACTAAAATCTTTACACATTTTGTTTCTTCCAAAATTTAGAAACAAAGAAGAATATTCTGTCCAGATTGGCACATATATTCCTTTGAGCTGTTGAAAATAGCGGAGAGATGTTGACATGTAATTTTTTTCTTTCCTATTACAGATGTATTCATGGTTATCTTTACATGCGCTCTGGAAGACGATGGCGTAGAGTTAGAGTACGAGGTAAAGTACAGGTACTTTATAACAGACGTTGGAGGTACGTGACCACAATGAGGAGAAGGGGAAGGAGAATGCTAGCTATTAAGTACGGTCGTAAAGTAATGAAGATCTCTATCCATCATGGTCGAGTAAAGATGTTCATTCCAGCACACTTCGAAACGGTTAAACCGAAGCCAAAGCCAAAACCGCGACCAATACGACGAAAGCGACCACGTTCACGTGGAAAAGGACGTTATGGGCGTCTAAGAGGGCGCCGAAGACGGCGACGTTGGCGAAAACGACTTCAACGACGACGGCGAAGGCGTAGACGGCGTTACATACGACGCCGGCGAAAACCTTTGTTCCTTTTCTATTATAAAAGACGCTGGCGGTCGATTATCAGATGGCGTGGTCAATATAGATTGCGTTACGGTAAAAGATGGATAACCTTCTAGTGAGTAAAATTTGTTTTTATTTGGTCCACAGCTTTAAGTTTCTATTGAAACAGTTGATCCCCTAATAGGGCGTAATATGTGGTGGTGAAAATTGTCGAAATAGACTGCTGAAAGTGCAGATGAGACCGAATGAATTGGACAAAAAAGAGTAAGCTACTACCATAACTTGTCCGTGCACTTGCGAGAAGGAGAGTGAATACAAATTGAATTCTGCGTAGCCACGTTGAAGTTAAATCATTGAGAGGAGCAACATCTTCTCACTCGTCTCACTTGCTCTTCTACGATAAGAATGGGGAGACCTAATGTTCTAAGGCCTAAGGCTCCGAGAGAAGCTGGTCTTTGATAATGAAACAAAATGGGCCAAATCGGACCTTTAATAAAGAAAGGAAACCTTGATATTGTCCAACAGGCGCTTGTCCTTTAGTTATGCAAACTTCTGTGGTTGGTAACGAAAAAAAAGCCTAGAAAGCAGTGATGGCTCCTGGCTAGGCGAAAGCCTTTAATCTTAACTTCGTAAGCCTCAGCCATAGATTACGTTCCGTGACCGTGCGAGAAGGAGATTTAATTAAAATTGGTTTATCCTAAAATACCCTCAAGTTAGACGGTTTAGAATAGCAGATTCATGTCCCAAGATTATTTATTTATTTGTTTATATATGGGACTCTTATAAGAGTCAAAATAGTTTAACATATGTCTTTGTACTGAAGAAGCAGTCATTAAGACGCCTATATGATATTTATGCCAGTTATGATTTACTTATGGCACGTTCAATGTCTTTGCTCCGTCACTAAGAACCGCACTAACTTTATATTTCTTGAACTTTAACAGTTATCGAACAGGGCGATACGTTAGAGTTACCTACAAAGGGAGGAGCCGCATAATACGTCGCGTCAGTAGGCGTTTCAAGGTGCGACTGGGTAAGCGATGGAGATATCTTAAAGTACGTGGTGGAAGGCTTGTGGTTCGTCGGTTCGGAAGTTACAGGCCATTCAGGTTAACAGGCGGCCGGATCCGGCTACGATACCGCAGAAGATGGAAAACAGTTAAGAGACAACCGCGAAGCCCGAGGAGACGAAGACGATGGAGACGTCGACATCGACGACGACAAAGGCGACGCGTGAGACGGCAACGTCGTAGATACCGACGACGTATGCGACGAATAAGACAGCGCAACATTTTACGTTTCTATTATGGTCGAAAATGGATAAGCGTATTCCGTAGAGGTAGTTCATTGAGATGTCGTTTTGGTGGCAGATGGAAACTTGTACGGTAAGCTCCTCTTACTGCGAACTTATTACTTGTGGCCTAGACCCAGAGTAGCTGTTCGAACCAAAAACTCGCTTAAAGAACAAGTCATGGTTATTTTGGTAGCTGCTACAATTGCAGTAACTACTGAATTTAATTTAGGTAACCGACATTTGGCAAAAATCTTTGAGATTCAGCTTTTAACCAGTGTTCTCGGCTAGATCACCGATCATGCCTTTGTTGTGGTTTAGTGAGAAGCATTTTGTCATGTTCACATTGAATTTAAAGTTTGTCGAGGTTACGACAAACCGCACAGAAAATAAGATAAACACCAAGGTGATTAAGTTATTTTCTATTCACTTTTTTTCGTTTTTTGCGCTTGGTTACGACCATGGGCGCCATTGTATTATTTGCTGTTTCTTCAAAAGGGAAATACCACTTACAAAGGCAAGATTTTTAGTCTTAGATGTTAGAATATGTAAATTACGCTCTCCCTGTATGGAGGCCCATCAATCAACGTTATTTTTTCAGATACCGTAAAGGAAGGATCGGAATCCGATATGGAAGGAGATGGAGGTGGTTGAGTAGAAGACCACTTAAATTCCGCTTTGGCCGACGATGGCGATCACTGCGATTTTACCGTGGAAAACCTCGCATAAGATTTAGAGGAAAACTGACAAAACTGCGTATAGCTTACGGTAAATTGCGCTTACTAAACAAAAGAAGATGGACGAGACCAAGGACACGTAGAATGATACGAAGAAGACGACGAAGACGACGAAGAAGAAGGTTAAGGAGGCGAAAAAGACGAGCGAGACGTCGACGCCGACGAAGGGGACGGGGAAGGCGCCGTATAAGTCGATGTGTGATGCGTGTAGGATTCAGAGGACGATTCAGGAAGATTTACAGGCGAAGAGGACGATTGATAATGCGCTGGGGAAGAAGATTCAAGAGAGTAAGGTGAGGTTAATTGGACAGCGGGCCGCGAGAATTACAAGGCTACAGAAAAAGTGGACTTGATCTAAAACACAGGCACAGCATTAGGATAAGACCGGTGAAAGAAATCATTATGATTGTGATTTTCGCTGATAATTATGTAAGATCACTTTCACTGAGACTAGGAAACAGCTGAAGTCACCCGACCACTATCAATAAGCTAATTCTTCCCCTCCGAAAAAAAAAAGGATAGCCCTGTCATAGAGTAAACTGAAAGTTACTTTGTTAAAAGCTAACCCTTTGCAAGCTGTCTTTAAATATTCATGAATTCACTCACGGAGACAAGCATGACTATATTTGACTCGGAAACAATGCAATAAAATTTACTAGTTTTTCCCACGCTTGTTTTCAGATACGCTTTACATAACAAAAAGACATGATTAGATTGAAAAGGTGAATGATGGATTTGTAGGACCAATGAGATAAATATCAACTGATATAAAATCACGTCTAGATTATTTTCGGGAGAATTAAAACATATCTTGTTTTCCAGGTACAAGTCTCGGAAAGGAAAGATCTCATTCACGTTCAAAGGAAGACGACGCTATATCAAACCTTACATCCGCATCAGAAAGCGATGGTGTCGTATAAGACGACGCAGAGGCAAGATCACTGTTCGTGTACGTGGAAGATACCGTCGATTCAAGCTATTACGCGGAACACCTGCATTTAGGAAAGGTAGGAAATGGCGAAGAATCCGTTACAGAGGTAGGATATCACGAAGACGCCGTCACCAGAGGAGACGTAAATATCTACGCAAATTACGACAATTACGTCGCTTTAGGCGTTACCGTCGACGAATGAGGCGAAAAAGGAGACGGATACGACGATCCAAGAGACTTAGCAGCTCCTTCATGATCTACTATCGCGGAAAGAGGAGAGTTGTTTTCAGGTGGAAAGGAAGATTGACGTTCCGCCTTGGAGGAAAGCGAAGAAGAATCAGGTAAAAAACAATAAATCGTCCTTTTACCATCAGGACAGTTATACAGTAGGTGTAGTACCGGAACATTTAAGTACTGCTTTAAAAAATACGATAAAAATGACTTGAAGTAATAAAGCACAGCAAATGGAGCAAAAAGCGCTATGTTTCACATATGAAATGGCATCTTTTACGGCGACGGAAACAAGTCTTAAGAGTCGCAGTTCAAATGCTCTTAATTAATGAGAGAAATTCGTTTGAAAGAATCGCAGCTCCTTGGACCGATAAGAATGGAGATGTCCGTATTCAGTGTCAGCTACTAATTCTGATTTTCCAGACATTTGGTGGAATGGCATCCAACTAAATGTTTTGTGAGTGGTATTCCACTGTCATAACTGACTCTCCGAAAGCCTGAAATCAAATACAGATTATAGAACAAAATATTGATAACTATTTCTGAACTCATCTTAATATTTAATTTATAGGTCTCCGACGAAGAGCCATAGCTCATTTCCTTTTCCCTTTCCAACCACTTCTTTCGATGTAAAATCCGTAATTAATTGATGTGTTCGACTCAAATGTGGCTACATATTTTATCTCATCTCACTTTAGGCTCTCTCGTGGCAAGCTATATTACTATTTCCAACGAGCTTGGAGACATGTTCCGATGAAGAGGTATCGACTCTACGTATTCAGGAGAAGGATGTGGCGACGAATTGTTATCCAGCGAGGAAAACTTAAGGCTCGCTTTGGTAAACGGTACAGACCAATCTTAGTCAACAATAAGGGTACCTATATGTATCTAAGGAGACGCTGGTTACCTCTAAAACGGCGAAGACGTGTGAAGCCCAGAAGAAGGCCTTGGAGACGCTACAGAAGAAGAAGACGCTACATTGTGATGCGTGTAAATGTTGGAGGACGTTGGAGATCAGTTTACCAAAGAAGAGGAAAGTTCTTCTTCCGTTATCGACGCAAGAATTGTAGCCTAAGGTAAAAGAAGATATATATATATATATAATGATTTTATTTACGAAAGGCTTTGGCTTAGGTACCACTATGTACCACCTAAATTATCTTGGACAAACTAAGATATGTGGAAGAAACTACATTACCTAGTGTTGTGCTTCCAACGCTGACAGCTAAGAATCGGAGTAACTCCTTTCGACCTACTTTTACTCGCTTACAACTGCATATTCTTGGTTTTTGTATTCTTATCAGATTTGTGCGTGGTTCAGTCTCATACTACTTTGGTCGAAGATGGTATCGAATCAGTTCTACCGCAAGGATAAGAATCCGTGTTAAAGGACGGTTCAGAAGAGTAAAGAGAGTGAGAAGAAATATCAGTGTCCTTTACCGAGGCAAAACCTCGCCAATTCGTTTCATATACGGCAAAATACAATTTTACTACAAGAGGATGTGGCGGCGTATTTCCACTATCCGTGGCAGGCGAGCAAGGAGACGTCAACGGCAAAGAAATGTCAGACGGTATTGGAGACGATTTAGGCGTAGAAGACGAAGGCGTCGACGTCGATACGGAAAGCGCAATGGCAGAATCTTTTTCAGATGGGGTAGAAAATTCTACCTCGTTCGAAGTAAGAAAGGACGGCTCAGCTTCCGTGTCGGCACAAAGTACTATTTCCTGAGGTAGGAGGGCCTCTTGTAACAGTAATTGTTAACACAATCCGGGAACCATAAACTTATTTATCCCAACAATATCATGATTATTTTTTATCAACACCTATGTGAGCATGAAAAAGGTACTACTTTATATTTGATTTATTCGCCTCTGAAAATAAGCAAGGTGCTTTGCTCAAACTTTCGCAATAATTGTAAATTATTCGTATGGGATAACGGAAACAGTGCCTGGAAATTTTCTTCTACAAAACGTCTTCATTCACAATGCTTCATTTTTACAAATATCCTTTTTCAAGGTTGCGCTAATACACTATTTTACGTTAGACATGTAAATTTTATTACAGCTTACCAATTAAAAATGAGTGCAATGCCATTTATGCTCTCACCGCTAAAATGTGATTCTGCTCATCATCTCATGGAAGAGGGTCGGGCAAAACTCAACGTGTTCGAGGATTCCATGGCGCGCAAACATTGTTCTAGAGGTCACATTTCCAGAGGCTACCTTTTCTAAACAAGTCTCTAAAATTACAATTTTCCTGCTGTTCACAGAATCCGAAACAAAAGAGGTATCTGGTTACGCTCCGGCAGAAAAGCTTGGAGGCTGGTTAGACGACCTCTTAGACGCTTAAAGATGTATATCCGTGGCAAATTACGCTGGATTTATCCACGCAAAGGACGTTTGATGGTCTACTATAGGCGAAGAGGACGACTAGTGCGATTCCGAAGCGGACGGCCATTTGTCTGGTTCCATCGCAGATGGAGAGGCCTTAGATTAAGATCCAACTACGCGAAAATGAGACTCAAGATTGGAGGCGTTTCAAGGATCATCCACAGAACAAAAGGCCGGTGGACTGTACGTTACAAAGGCAAACTCAGAAGGATCTTACTGCGAGGACGACGATTTGGAATCTTTATCGGAGGAAGATGGAAATATGTGCCTGCAAGGGGAGGAGCCTTGCAGATACGTTATGGGGGAATGTGGCGACGAGTGAGGAACTGCTGCAACAAACTGAAAGCTGTGTTACGTGGCCGTCTTCGACGAATCCGACTTCGGTATGGAAAAGCCAAAATGCGAGGGAAGAAAGGCTGGAGTAGGTTATTGCGCCAAGGGTTTCGCAAATTTCGCCTCAAACGACTGAGAGGTACGTTGTAACACGCGCAATCCTGGGTGGTTCGAAGCTCACGAAATTGATTTCCTGAAGTGTCTTATGTGAATTGGGTCCATATCTGACACTCTCCTTTACTATTACAGTAGTAAAAGAGAACAGAATCTCTCCTTTACCACTACAATTACAAAGAAAACTTTAAATATAGACCTTGATGAGAAATAAGACCAAGATTCAGAAATCCTAAATAAAAGGGTATGGGGAGATTTAAGCTGAAAAGTGATTTGTTGATACATGTTATGGATACTGAAATAAGTTTAAAAAAGACACTATAAACCAGAATTTATAATTGATCACACGATTGCACCTCCCAGGGAGACTAAAAGGAAAACATTTATTAAGATGTCATGAATACTGATTTGATACGCTGTTTGTTATCAATATCTAGACCAACCTGTTGCACAGACTACCATAAAAGAAAGCGACGAACCACAAGAATCTAACACCATCGACCCCAGCCCAACCACAAATAAGACTCCAGGATCGCAAGTTTACGACTCGCCACCCACAGCCGCTGACCAAGAAGTACCACCTCAATCAATTACCGATGAGATCAGCCGGGAGACAGGGTCGACTATGAACGTGAATGACTACCTGTGAGAAGACCAAACGGAACACAGGAAACGGAACCGGACATCGAAAAGGGACAGCTTTAACATCTATTTAACCAACTAACATTCTTTTATTTTTTTTTCTTTACTTATGGCAGTTAGCAAGATTAACCAAAGACATGTATTTTAAAATTCATGGTCGAACATTATCACACCTTGTTTGACGTACTTTCAAAGCACGTGTTGCACTGCCGATATACTTATAACCTACTTATCCTACTAACAAGTTTCGTTGTTTTCAAAGTTGTTCCTTTGTATAACCAATAAAGGCATTAAAAATTCAGTTGTGTGTGTCATCTTTCGCTTACCCCGGAAGGGACTAGTCATTTTCGATCCACTGTGTGGTAAAACGCTGATCGAACCCTTTCCTTAGCCATGAAATATCGTTATTTCTAGAAAAAATATCTTCTTGTCCGTAAAGCAAATTTTCGACTTCGTGTGAACCTAAGCCTCCATGAAAATGCCTATTTTTGAAACATGATTGTTATCAATAAAAATATCTTTAGCTCAAATGAATAGCCAGTTAAGAAAACGAAAGTCAAGAACTTTCGATTCAGCTACACTTTTTCTAGACCGTACCTTCCTTTTAGTTAAAAGTAACTCAATAAGTTGCCCTCGACAAAAGGCAGGCGATACACTCTTCCAACATTAGTCTCTTCAATTAGTATGGAGGATATGATTATGGATGAAATATAGAAGATGAAATTTCACGGAAGACATTGCCATTGTCACTGAGACTTTTTAACTGTCACTTCACACAAAGTTGATCCACAGCAGACGTTGTTGCATCCATCATGTTGCTTGTGTTTTCCTCTGTGGAACTCTCAGCATTATGACGACTTGTGTCCTGATCACAATCCGAAACACGCTTTTGAGACGAATCTTTAATTTTGCTCCTTATAGCGGTAGCATGCTTCAGTGCAATTTGCAGCACTTTCTTTTCGGCTCGTTTCAACCGGATGCACAGTTTTTTGTGGTGTGAGAATTCAGGATTCTCAAGCAACTCAGAGTCCTCCTAAAGTTTAAAAAAAAGAAGAAAAAAATTAACAAGCAGTTTACCATCAAAGTCATTTACCATTCAGAGGGTAAACCAAGTTCGAATACATATGACTTGAAACCAAGGCACTGGCGAGTGATTATCTTTACGCGGGTGATTCGTATAAACCGTTTAACCCTCCAACCCCCAAAAGTAACTAGCATCTAATTTTTCCTTGCAATATCATCCCTGAATCACATTAAATTCGTGAGAACAAAGGAAATGATCACCAACTAAAGAAGCTCTTGATTGTTACACAAATTCTCCTGCTCAGCACCTTAGGAAATGTATAAAGAACAGTATGGATAATATACATACTGATGTTAAGGTGTAAAGGATAAAGATCCCAACTAATTCCACAGAGCAGATAGGAAATTCAAATTAAATTATCGGGAAAAATTCCAGCTAAGTGACTCGATCCTGAGTGCTTTAAATTTCAAATTTGGGCTGCTACCCATTTGTCAGCTCTAACCGAGCAGATCGTTCTGTATGGAAATGGCAGGTCAGTTTTTAGAACTTACAAAAACCTACACTCTTTTTTAAGTAAGGCCATTAAGTCTTAAAGATTTTAGGCGCAAAACTCGGGGAACATGCGGGAGTTTTGAGCGCCGAATAATGGAGATGATGGTGTAAAATGTAGCCCTTTTCAGTTTTTCAGGGGAAATGAGAGGTCTTTTCCACTGGCAATTTTTCAAAAGGAAATTGGAATACTTCTAACAGTATTCCATTGTTTCGTCTTGCCAAGGGCGAATAATACCGAAAGAAGGAGCTTAAAAAACTGCCCCCCCTTCATCGTACATGCAGCGAGCATAGCACAACGCACGACGATGTTCCTGTCTAATGTTCCTACTAATTTCACTCGAGAAAATATTTCTAACTAAGTAGCACTTTGAAGAGTTTGATTTCACCTTAAAAGAATCTACATGCATATAGTGTTTTAAATTACTAAGTCATCCCTATCACCAACAAAGCATAATTTTCTTCCACGAGACCAAACTTACCGAGTCCGTATTTTTGTACTGTTTAAGAAGTAAGGACAGACGTGTCTCCAGGAACTGCCAACCCTTGTTTTCAGTCTCCTCCTTGACAAATATTTCCTTTTCTGAAAGTTTCTTCAACTCACTGGTGTCTTCATTCGCTTTCATGAGCCACTCTTTTAACTCATCTAGATAAAGTAACACACAAGATTTTCAACAAAATAAACAATGCGTGTGGGCCATCGAAATATTGCAACATTTCACAATGCCATTTACACGCCTCCACGAAATGTAAGACCACTGTCTTTAAGGCATGGAAGGTCACTAGTTAATTGGACGCTGGTGGAATCGATCAAAATCGATCAAAACGAAGCCTTGCAAGAGGAGCCATAAGGAGCCATGAGCAACAACAAAAAGACTTTTTCAAACCCCGTCATCCGTACTTCAAAAGATCGAACTTCCTAAAACCAGCTCTGTTGGAGTGTTACAGATTCTCAAAGGAGACATTGTTCCTCTCCCTTATTTAGCCTCCGCGGCCGTTCGTCGGGATGTCACGCAACGCTCTTATCGTTAGTTTGTTAGAGCGTTGCTTGACATCGCAAAGAAGACTTTCTCCCTTTCATAAGCTGAACGTTTTCTTGTATTATTGTTTATCTTACCTTCAGTCATAGAAAAGATTCTCAAAAAGGTGACCAATTCAGAGTCGAATGGTCTTTCTCCATAACCCACTGGAAACGAATGACTTGACCTGCGAAAAAATGTGCAATATGGGTCTTAATTTCAACCTTTCTTCCTTCACATGCCTTCCCTCTAAAATCATGGTTCAAACGCAAAATAAGACAGACAATCCACAAGCAAATTAAAAAAAAGCGATGGCAATAACAAGAAATCGTCTTCGAAGAGATTTAGACAGTGCTAATTTTTCATACAAGAAAATGATCCAGTATTTTTAGGTTTAACAACTTCCTGCAAAAACACTTGTGAGCTCACGAGGTTATATATGGATAAATAAACGGCCAACTAGAATCCTTTCCAAAACGTACGCAGTCATTCCCATAGAAGCCAGTAGTCTTTCCTTCATCTGGAATAATGGATCACTCTTGCTGACGCCCAGCTGGATGGAAACCTTATCGTGGGCGTTTTCCTCAAACACAAACCCATTATGTACCAACAGATCCGCATTGGAACGCTCTCCATAAAAAATGCACACTTGTTCACCTACATGAAAGTCCCTCACAGACATACTTTTGCAGCTATCTTCAGCTAAATCATAGCCAGTCGTTATCTAAGCAAAAAAAAAATATATATATATATATACAGAAATAGCTTGTCTACGATACGGGCATACTGACAAAACTTCTAAGATGACTTATTCCTCAAGGCCCACATTCCAGCCCTTCTCGACTGAGCCGAAGAGCAGAATATATGATTTAGTTTTCGGAATAAACTAGAGGTATGAGGAAAAGAATGTGTTGAGCCAGGCTTTTGTGGTGGATGACGTTTTACTGCTAAATGCCTTCAATTCTAACCCGACTGTTTTTCTTTTTAAGTTTCTAAGATGTGAATAATGGTATCAGACAGATAAACAGAATGAAGAAGACATTGAGATCTATTTTAGATAAACAGGAGCATGGAAAAATTAGAAAAAAAAAGAGCCACTTCCACTATCTTCCTGACTTCTCCTGACTTCCTCAAGGTCTGGAACCCTGAATCACTGTCGTTGGACAAATATATTCCTTAGCACTTGTTTTCTGCATTGTTTCAGATTGCAGAGTGAAGGAGATGAGCCAAATAAATTGCTAAATAATCTGCAGGGATCACATTTACTCTGCTGTGTGTTCTCTTACCGTGCCATTACAGTGGTTACACATGTCCCACATAGGAATAAGCGCAAGAGTTGGTTCACCTGTGGTGCTTGGGATCTTGTTTTGTCGAGTAGTGACAGTTGACACTGCCCATCTGGAAAAACAATTTTAAGAAGCAACGTCACGCTCACTCGCAATCTTTACAAATATCTTTTCCCATCTTTAAACATCACAGTTCCTCACAAATTTATTTCAGCTATTTTGGAATTTTCGTTCCATACCAAACTACTTTCATCAAATCGCTCTGACGAAGGGTTAATGCTCGAAATGTCGGCTTTGAAACTCTCTACAGTGGCTAATTTACGTTGTCAACTCAGTTAATAATACTTAATTCCTTTCATCTGGTTTACCTAAAATTGCAGTTAATTTTTCATTTCACAAAGAGCCACTCAAAATTTTGCGAACGGATACAATAAGCATCTGGGAGTACCAGTTAAAAAATCATGGAAGGGCAATCTTTTGACTCAGCCACTTCATTAAAGAGGCTTTGCCTCGAAAAAACAACAGAGAATCAGAACCTTTGTTCCAAAACAGGTTTAGGAGTGTGTTAAAGAGGCGGGTTATGGTACTTAACACCTAATTAATCTTTATCAAAATTATGCTGCACAGTAATACCTTGACTTGTTCACAACAAAATCGAACACGTTATTATAAAAGGAACAAGTCAATTCGTTTTTAACTTCCTCAGTCCAGGTCCAAATTTTCCAAGGATTACTTGCTCATTCGTTAAAACAGAACGTCGAAAAGGAGGCAAGTCAATTTTCTTTCAACCAAACTTTCAAGTTTAAAAAATATGTACAAGCATATTTGGGTCAACAGTAACCGCACCCATGTGTATATGATTTTACCTGAGAAATATTGTGTTATGAGTTACTATAATTGAGCAGTGGAATATTGCTGATTATACTTGAACCTTTTCAAGTTCACTCTAAAAGAACTTGGAGCTAAAGATGTCAGACGCACCTGTGATCATCAAAAGTAAAATGTCTTCTAAGTGGAAGCTTGGCCGTTTCTGGACAAACCTATCAACAATCAATTACTTCTGATTAGAATGACAGTTATTACTACTTTAAAACAAGCGGTGATATTTTTTCGATTATTCCACACTTTTGAAGAGGATCTGATAGTCAATTAATGCTTGGGCGGGTGCGAATCAACCAGCGGGTTTAGTACGAACCGACACAAACTTAGTACGAATAAACTGAGTACGAAACGTCCATGGGTGCGAAACGACTGGATACCCAAAAATGTGAGCTGACACGCCATACTCACCTGATGAAGACGTTGGTAGAGATAAGAATACTGTCGCGCAATATTTCTGTACAGCTTGAGAGATTCACCTGCAACAGATCATTTGGGAGTTGTTGTGTAAGGATATTATTTCCCAGCGGGATTTAAAAAGTAA